GCATTTGGCGGGGCAGAGTGTGAAAGAATATAAAGTTAATTTGCAAAGGAGATGTCTTCGTCAGCTCAGGCTGCCATAACAAAAGGCCATAGAACGGGCAGCTAAACAACACAGACACATTCTCTCACAGGAGGCCAGGAGGCATCCCGACAGGGAAGACATGAGCAGAGTCCCCAGTTCCCATTGTTGCTACTTACATCTCTGTCCACACTAACTGCTCCACACCAGACGCTGTTTTCAACGTTATCGCAGCCTCCCTCACTCAGCCCTCCACACTCAGTCAAATACAGATGCCACAGAGCACAGACCCTTTTTTTAGAGTACAGACCCTTTTCACCAACTTGAAAACTGGGCCATGCAACTTTGCATTGTCTGGGAATCACCCCTCCACAGCGTGGGCTCACGCCAGGGGAATCCCTCTTTGGCAGCCACGGTTCTGATAGACAAGTGTGTTCTCTGCTCCCAGACCGAACGGCAGAAGCTCTCCCGAAAGGGACGTATCCCCGAGAAGGCCCAGCAGAGGGATTTCATGCCGTTCATCGGCCGGCTGTCCCCTCGCCTGGAGCTTCCAGACAGAGCATCAGGACCATCCATACAAAGGACTCCTCTGGGTGACTCCTCCTGGAACTCCTCTTCAAATCAGATCGTCTCTTTCCTTACTAAATTTATCCTTTTCCCTTTGGACAGACAGACATGGACTCTGACCAGGGCAACACTTTACCTCCGAGGAGACTCCACAGCAGGCTAACTTCATCATGTTTGGGACTTCCACCCAGGTAAACATTCCCAGGTGGCTGGCCTCATTGAGCGCCCTAATGATTGTCTTAAAGAGACACCCCTTACCTTTCAGGCAAGCGTTCCAGAAATGGATGAAACTCTTGCCCCAGGCATTTCTAGCTGATAGCATCCCTACGGATAGGCTGAGATCAGCACAAAACACAGCTGTTACTGTAAATAAAGTTTTATTGGAACAGCCACACACATTTGTGTAAGTATCTTACATGTACAATAGTAAGTCTTAAGTCTAAGGCTGCTTAGGCTCTATAGCGGCTGAGCTGAGTACTTGCTACAGAGACCATATGGCCTGCAAAGCCTCAGTTATTTGCTATCTGCTCCTTTAAAGAAAAAGTTTGCCAACCCTGCTCTAGTGTGTGGTGTGAGTGGGCAGGCATCAGGACGTTAAAGATCGCCAGGTGATCTCCATGTGCTGGCTGAGAACCTCTGAGTTTTTAAAAAGAAGGCTGAGTCATTCCCTGAGATAATGGCTACATGGTTAGAGCTGAAGAAAGACAGTGTCTATAGCATAAATGGGGTGAAATCTGAGACATTCTAAGGCTATAGAAGAAACAAAGAATGCACTGTCTGGCAAATAGTAGCTTCTATAATTATTCTCATTTATTTTTTTCTGGTATTATTTCAACTTTTCAACATTTTTGACCATGAAGTAGAGGAGAGAATATGATAATTGAAGGGAATGTATTTGTGGGGACTCCAAGATTTCAAAAGGGTCTTTTGCTTTAGATTCGAGATACTTCAAGTGTGTTTAAATGTCAATTGAAAACCCAGTTGAACAGAAGAAGGGATGACTGATGGGAAAGAATCCACCAAGGGGGAGAGAGATTTTCCGGACCAAAGAAGAAGGACTGATCCATGACAGGAGGAAGGATGGCTCCTCCATTTTCACAGGAGACAGTGTAATAGTGGGGAATTGTAACCCACCCCACCATTTTTTTACATTGTTTCTGTAAATGCTGACTCTGACTATCGATAGTATGCAGCTTGTAAATAAACAGCATGTTTGTATAAGAATCCTAGAAATTAACTTTAGAAGATGCAGATGCTGACCTCAGTCGTTCCAGTTTTGGGGGATTTGTTGACCTTCAATTGGAGAACAAGGATGATGTAGAACCAGGATGACGAAGACCAGGATGATGTACCCCAGATCATCACCTGACCAGTTGTGAGATCATTATCAGAATGGACTATGCTGATCTGCATGGAATTTTTCAACCCCCCTCTCCTTGGTCTCTGTTCTGCTTTCCATCTCTCACCTTATAAAACCTCTGCCTGTACTGAGATGTAGAGATGTAGATAAGAGTCCCCCATCTGTTCAGGTGACTGTCACTTGAATAAACCACCTTCCTTTTCACCAACACCTGCCTCAAGAGTTTGGCTTTTATGACAGCAGGCAGCTAATTTTTCTCAGGTTAACTTACATTCTAACACTCGGTAATGACTACTTCGGATCTTTTCTACTCTCCTCAAACATTCAACCCTGCCCCCTCTCCCAGCCAGCCTCACACATCACCCTCTACAAAATGGTTTTACATCATAATGAGCTAAAACAAGAAAGGCAGAGATGGGAATTCCCTCATTTTCTACCAGTAAACAAAAATGCTTGCCTCAATAGGCTTCCATCTTCTACTGGCCCCTGAGTTTGCTCCTAGCACATGGGCCTCCATCTCTCCTTCTCTTCTCCCACTGGTCCCCCAGCTCTCAGCTCACACTTCCTCAGGGAGCTTCCTGACCACTCTGCACAGGTCGGCCTCCTCCATCACACTCTCACAGGACAGCGTGCCTCCCCTTCAAGGGCCTCTCTCAGTTTGGAATTACACATTCGTTTAGGTGGCTATTTGATCAATGTCTGTCTTCTCACAACAGATTCCAGACACCCTGGGAGCAGAAACCACATCTGGTTTAGCTCATCTTGTATCCTCACCACTTAGTAAATACTTGTCACAGGTGCTCAAAATAAGTTTTTTTTTTGAGGTGTGGGGGGTTAGAACCATGGGATTTAAGCAGAAAGGGGTATTAGAAATGACCTGTTTTTGGTAATTTTTTGAAGAAATGGAAGCCTACAGAGATGGGAGATCAGGGGGTTTTCACTTACACATGGTCACACAGGTAGCTGATGGTAGAGTTGGAATGTATATTCTGGTCTCTTTCTATCTCACCCTGGGAACTATTTCCCCCCCCCCCCCACCTCAATGTAAATACTCTGGTAGTATTCTCACCTTCTCCTGCTTTAAAAAAAAAAAGTGTAAAAATAAGAGTGGTATGTGTGTGTAAACAGTTTTTTTGTGCTGTCCAATCAATCACACATCAAAGCACTGGTGGCAGTCAAAATGGCATGCTCGAAGGGGGGACATATTAAGGCACTCCCCCCACCCCCCACTTGCAGCAGGGAGGGGTGCCTAGTGAGAGCCAGGAAGCACACACTCTTCCTTCTGCTGACCAGCCCAGCCACCCGGCCACAGTGAGCATGAGGATTAACAAGGCTCACAGCGGCTACTCCCTGGAAGCTGAGAACTCGGCAGAAGAAGTGACAAATGCATTTCCCCGGGTGGCAGCAGGCAATCATTTTCTGCTGTCAGACCACAGTCTGATGATCAAAGGCAGTTTGCAGTTTTTCCAGAGCCTTCCTTTCCCCAGTTTCTTTTGCACTGAATGAAGCACGGGCGCCCCCTGGTGGTACCTTGCAGAAATATCTGTGAAAGGGAGAGATTTGCCAAGTTTGGGTGAGAATTCAGTTCTTTGTATGCCTGTTGCCTCCACAAACCATTTCCCAAACCAGCCAGGCCCTCGTGGACCATCTGAACCAGAAGGTGTCAGTGGACCAATGCTTCCGGTGGTCAGGCTTCCACGTGGCCAGCCCCTGCTGCTAAGCAGAGCTGTGCCTGATGAGAGTCCTGAGGGTGGGCACATGGGTCTGGCCCACAGTGTGAAGTGCGGGGCCCAGCCTTCTGTTCAGAAGGGAGTGCTCTCTGTGCTAGAAATCCTAAGGTGCGTATAGCATTTTACTGTTGACTTGCATTCAGCGGTCCCCTCATCCGCAGTTTCGCTTTTTGCAGTTTCAGTTGTCCGACATTAAGTGGAGAGTTCCAGAAATAAACAATTCATGAGTTTTACACGGCAAACCACCAGGCATTGTCCTGCTGCATTCAGCATGAGATGTGAATCATCCTTTTGTCCCTCGTCTCGTAGATGCTCCCGCCCAATAGGCACTTACTAGAGGGGTGGTTATCAGATCGAAGGTCTGGTATCACAGTGTTTGTATCCAAGCGATTATTTCACTTCATAACGGTCCCAAAGCCATGCATATAACGTTTATTGTAATATATTGCTATAATTGTTCTATTTTACCATTAGTTATTGTTATTCATTTCTTACCGTGCCTAATTATAAACTAAATTTTATCATGGATATGTACCTATATGAAAAAAAAGCCAAATACATAGTATGTATAGGGTTAGGTACTATCCGAGGTTTGTTTGTTTTTAAATTTAAAAAATACATACTTTATTGATTTTTTTACAGAGAGGAAGGGAGAGGGATAGAGAGTTAGAAACATCGATGAGAGAGAAACATCCATCAGCTGCCTCCTGCACGCTACAGTCCCTACTGGGGATGTGCCAGCAACCAAGGTGTTAGAGGGAGCTCTGTGCCAGCAGGAGGTCTGTGGGCGGAAAGCTGGGGCCACGGCACAGGTGAGTAAGGACAGGTGTTAGGACAGCGGAACAAACTGGAGGTTGGCAGTTTACAGAGCTAGACAGGTGTGAGGTGATGAAGAGAATAGGGCCGAGGAGAAGTGAGTGGATGACATACCTGTAACATCTGTAAGTGCCCAAACTCTCTCACCTAGAGAAAGAGGGAAAGGCACTACAGGTGTCTGTGGCTGGGAGGGCTGCGATCTGGGCAGTGGAAGCCAGGCTGGTGAGGCCCGGAACCAGGCCTGCAGGGGGCAGGCTCCAGGAAAGGAAGCAGCCGCTGCTTTCTCAGACTGCGTCTCAGAGGCTGGTAATAACTCCTCCTGCCTTTCATTGACATTTTTTGATAGGCCCTATGTTGTTACCTCTGTGTTACAATGTGTCCAGTTTTGTGTTTCATTTTCTCTGCATATAGGTATAAACGTTACTTTTAGACCATAAAAGCAAAAAATAAAAATTTGCCCTATTTTAAAACATTAGGAAATATACATTTGGAAAAAGTTAAAAATCACAAAGAGATCAAAACTGTTTTAATAGTTACTTTTTGATGAAAATCCAGTCGTACCTGTTTGTACCGTTACATATACCATCGGACACTCACACGCCACTAGGAACATGACATATTACAAAAGAGAGGGACTTTTAAAACCACATTTACCTTTTAATACAAAATCTGTTGCACTATTACAGAATCTGTTGCACTATTACAGACCCCTTCATGCACAGATAAATTTAGCAATCTACCGTTACGGAAGAGTAAAACCTGTACTTTTATTGCTTCCCCTGCAAACACTGGCAAGTGTAAAGTAACATTTATCTTTGTGCTCTCTGATACCAAGACGAGCCTGGTTCCATTCGAAAGACTGATCTGTGAGAATGAGAGAAGGAGACACACAAGTATTCAGGGCCATCTTCGCCTGGGATTGCTTCAAGCTGTGCTTTACCCACACGTATCAAAGATGCCACGTGACTAGGTTACGGAGCCCCACAGGCCAAGCTCGGAAGAGTCCATCTAGAAACTTGCTGTCCATGTGTAGGATAGTTCGCTAGTTCAGTTTCACAGCAAAAGAGGAAAAATAAAAATCCGAAGGTATGGAAATGCTTTCCAGTCCCATGCACTGTATTAATGAGCTAACTTCGTAGTCAGTACAACATAAACACTGTTTGCATGTTTATTTGTATGTGACACCGATAAGCATAGAGCATCTACATTTTAAGTGTATGTACAAATTCAACAAAATATCTACATATAAAAAGCTTTACTTAAAATTAAACTTGATGCAAGTTATGAGAAACCAATTTATTGGCAAATGAAACTGAGCATTCCTTCAACCATAGGTTGTTATAGAATATCCTATGTGGAGTTAAACCATTTGATAGATGTTGTTTATAAATATGGTAGCATATATATATAAATATATATGGGTGTTTTGAAGCTGCAGATAGTAATCCGCTTGACTCTGGGGCCTTGTTAGCACTTACCGGCTTTTTTTTAGATTCTGAAATGTGTCCATAGCAATTTGCATACAGGTCTTTTAATGCAGAGAGTTTAAAATGTTGCCACATAGGTAAAGACTTAATAATATACTCCTGGTGGCATGCTGTTGTATGCTTTTAGTTTTGAAATACCTTGTGGTTTTTAAATTTTTACACCAAGTTGACACCTTTCTTACTGAAGGGGATTTGTTTTACTAGAAATTATAAAAGACCCCCGCCCCCCCCAAAATCATCATGTGATCCAATCAGTGATAATGTTTCTCTTTTTATGCATATGGGGAAATGCTCCTTAAAATAAGTGGTCTTATCCCTTTTATTTCCACATTTCCTTTTTTTTTTTTTTTTCTTCCAGCACGGCAAGTTTTCATGATTTCTGCTGTGTAGAAGTTACTTTTAGACCATGTCAGTAGTGTAGGACTCTGAGTCCGCTGTGCCTTCGATGCAGAAGGCGGGGTGTTACGGAATGCTTGTCTGAAGGCACTGCCTGTGTCCCGCCCTGTGCTTTCTGGAATACGTTTTGGAATCGAATGGGAGTGATGTGTCTGTGGTTCTTTCTGTATGGCACAAATGCCAGAATGCATTGCAATACACCTTGCTGATGCCTAAAAACAACTGAACAGAGAGGTGGTGTAGCAAGTGGAACACTGCACTGCTGTAATACCTGGAAGGTTAAGAAGGCTACGAGGTAACAAGAGCAAAGAGCAGAGAACAGAGTCTCAGTAAGCATCAGCAAATGCCACGGTCGTGGTTAACTCATTTAGCAAGTATATACTGTACGTACTGCTCCTAACGGTCTCCCCAAAAGACTAACAGCTAGACACAGAGTCACCAATTTCACAACAATGCCCACAAAGACATTGAAGTTCTAGAGAATACTACAGTAACACACTTGACAATGGAAAACGTTGTTCCTATTTAGGGGGTTCAGCTGAGAAGAGTATAAACAAAGTATCAAACCATGTCTTAATAGCACACACAGGTCTGTCCTTGAGCTGTGCAGCATTTTTTCATGCATCCTATTGAGCTGTATCCTGAAGAGGAAATCACATGGTCTGTGGGTTATTTTTCTCAGTTCTGAGGAAAATCAAGAATGCCTATTTTGAATGAAAAAAGTATGCCCTTTGCACTGCAGTTCACATTCACGTATCATTTGACTGAGTTGTGTTCTTGCCCTAACTCTTCTCATAGTGCTAACATACGGTAGAATACATACGTTCTGCCTCTATGTTCACAGTATGAGAAGGCTGACTGACAAGTGCTTGAGATAAACCCTCTAAGAGGAAGGGAATATTGGCAAAGAGCTTACAAGTCAAACAAAGGAATTCATGGCGTTGACCGGAGACGGTGCCTCTGAGCTCTCGTTGCCTTCAGCTGGCTCTTTCTCTTTCTTACCGCTGTACTGCCCAATGAAGGAGCCATCCTCGTTGAACTGGCCATTCACTCCCTCTCCATAGTCCACAAGGCTGTCATCACTGTCTTCTTTCTTCACAGTCCTGTCTGACGGTGTTCGGCTGCCCTTTTTCAAAGGCTTGTGGTCTTCTGCATCACTGGAAGAAAAAGAAATTTTCACCAAGACTGGTACTTTGGTAAAGTGTTTTGTTCCGAAAGAGCATGCATGCCAATTATGATAAAGCGTATGGAGTCCCAAGCTTTGCTAGCTAAATCTGATCACCAGGCTGACTCCAATGACAGGGGTGTGGCTGGAATGAAAATCAGGCACAGAAATGGCTTAGTCATGAAATCGTCAGTAGGTGGATGGCTTCTGATTGTACATGTCAATATCAATGTCAGATTCAGGCTCCTGATTTAGAAACAGTTCAGAAATAATCACAAGCATTAAAAAAGGAAGAATTGAAAAAAGGTAGAAATCACTATTTTGAATTCCAAAGGGGGTAAAGATTATGGCAGGTAGAGAAGTTAGTATGTTAAACACTGTAGTATCTTTGATTCCTTGGATATGAATAGGGAATTAATGATTTTGGATTTTTTTTTTTTTCTGAGCAAGAAGCAACAGTAAAATCCTGCATTTCAAATAATTTTGTTATTGAGTGCAGGCCAGACTTGTAAACTTTAACCTTACCTTTCAAGAGACCTACAAATTCCATTAAAAGGATGCAGAAGAAACAAATGAAAATAGCCTAAGAAGAAAAGCAAAATTCTTATACTGATAGTATATAGTATTTTTTTTTCTGTAAGAATTTTAGTTAATGGGTAAAGATTTATTATTATCATATTTTTAATATATTTTATTGATTTTTGTACAGAGAGGAAGGGAGAGAGATAGAGAGTTAGAAACATCAATGAGAGAGAGTCATTGATCAGCTGCCTCTTGCACACCCCCTACTGGGGATATGCCTGCAACCAAGGTACATGCCCTTGACCGGAATCGAACCCAGGACCCTTCAGTCCCGAAGCCGACGATCTATCCATTGAGCCAAACCGGTCCCGGCAGATTTATTATTTTTGAAAGAGACACAATTTAACTTAAGAGAAATATGTGTGTACTACTAATGGCATGTCAATATATTCTAGAGTGTGAGTGATTCCAAAAATGCAAAAGCAAGCATTTCCTTTATTCTCTTTACCCTCTCCTCCTCTCCTAAGTGTAGGACGCAGCCTGTCTGTGTCAGATGGGAATCTAGGAAGGCTAATTTAATAGATCTTTATAAGACCCATTTTCCCTTTATTTCTCTGTTGAACCTTTGGAATGGGAAAAGTAATCATTATGTTTTAAAACATCCACTCATATGGTCATGTAACTACATATGCACATCGACCTATTCTTTAACTGGTAACATTTGGCTTTAAAAAAAAATGAAAAGGCAATGACAATATATTCTTTCTTCCAAAGAACAAAAATACAGGCAAAATAAAAAAAACATAAACAATATTAGTAAAAACTAAAAAAGGCTTAATGTAAAAAGAGAGGTCACAGTAGATGTATTTCCCCTACCAATTTCTACAAGGACTTTATTGCTCCCTTTGTTTTTAAGAGTGACTTTTACTTCTATCTGAGATACTAATATTTTAAGATGCACAAATATTCCGGCTCTTTTGCCAATAGTTCCTACCAGTGTTTTCAATTTTTTTCCAAGAATAAAATCTTAAGATTGGAAAAAATCGTAGTTTAATAAGACGTACACATGTGCTATTGAAAACTACCTGTTTCAACAAAACACAAGTTTGTCACAAACTGAATAAACCATGTTATCACCACTACTAATAAACAACTGGGGAAGTATCACAGAACCTCGGGGTGGCCTGTGTGAGGGGTTCTTTAGGGGACATGTCATCCATTCCCCAACCTGCTGCAAGAATAACATGTACATCTTTGGTTATTAATTTGAAGGCTTTGCTTGAATATTTCCTATGAAGTATTGCTCATGACTTGATAAGACACTTAATTTCTCTGAAGAGTTCAATAATGAGCAGAATTCTGTCACCTGGATTCTAACTCTTCATCATTTCCTGTTCTGTGAAACTAGTGTTCTAAGAAGTATACAGGAAATTCTAGTCTATGGCATTTCTTTGATCCATCCATGCCGCCATCCATTGTCTAATAAATGTTTATTGAGTGCCTATTGTAGGACAGGTAATGTTCTAGTCATTGGGGACACAGAGCCAACAAAATAGACTGAAACCCTGATCTCACGGAGCTACTTCTAGTAGGGAAAACACAGACATAAACAATAGACATATTTAAAAGAGTAGTGGTATAGTATATCAGAAGGTAATTAGTGCCATGGAAAACATAGAGCTGAGGAGGATGGGAGGTGCCAGAGGAGGGAGTGAAAGGTTGACATGTAATAGGATTAGGATGTCCAGGGAAGGCCTCATTAAAAAGTGACATCTTATCAAAGACTTAAAAGAGTTGACTTATCCAGGTGGGTAGCTGGAGGCAGAGAGACTCCAGCTGGAGTAACAAGCAGTACAAATGTCTGGAGGTAGAGGCAAGCCTAGAACGTTCTAGGAACAGAGGAGAGCTTGTGTGGCTGAAGCCAAATGTGTGTGGTGTGTGTGTGTGTGTGTGTGTGAGAGAGAGAGAGAGAGAGAGAGAGAGAGAGAGAGAGAGAGAGAGAAATGGAGGATGGGGGAATGAGTAAAAGTAAAAGGGGGAGATAGGGCTAGGCTGGATCAGGGTTTTCCTTCCTTGTAGGACATTGTAAGGATTCTGTCTTTAACTGAGAGAGGTGAGAAGCTACTGGAGGGTTTCCAATGGATGAATGACATGCTCTTACATTTAAAAAGGATTACAGTCATCAGTGTTGAGAACAGCCTATCCTAGAGAGCAGGAGTTGGCAAACAGAAAAAATGGGCCATTCCCATTTATTACCTATTACCTGTGACAGCTTCTGCCTTAAAACAGCAGAAGTGTGGAGCTGCAACAGTGGCCATGCAGCCTCCAGGCCCTTTGCAGGAAAAGTCTGCTGCCCCTGCTCTAGGAAGTCAGGGGGCCCATGGCAATCATCCGGGAGAGAGATTATGGACACATTTTGAATGCAGCACAGACAGGGTTTTCTGAGGAATTAGATATGGGATAATGGAGAAGAAAAACAATGCCCAGAGTTTTGATTTGAGAAACAGGAAGAACAGAACTACCCTTACTGGATGTTTAGACATGATAACATTTGACATGTCAGAGGAACCACTCCTCTAATCATTTTACGTGTCCAGTATAACACTGATATCTAAAACTAACAAGGACAGCCTCTAAAACAAACTAGTTGTCCTTTCATGATTAAGAGGTGGAGTTATAGGTTTTTAGAAAGAAATATTCTCGAATCCAAGATTAAAGAGCAACACTGGTTTTTAAAAGCACCATTTGGAAGGTAGCGGGTGTAGTGTTCTTCACAGGGCAGGTCTGTGAAGTCTTCACTGTTGTTTTAACTCTTCTTGTAACACAGCAGCTGTGCTAGGCTGGTCCCTACAGCAAAGGCCTCTGGCTAGTACTACAGAGTGGATGAACACTCTGCCTTACACCTGTGACTCCACTGGCCATTTGTTCATTAATGAAAGCAAGAGGCCATTTTAGCTGTGAGGGATGTGTAAACATTTAGAAAGGGAAGAGTTTATGAACTAACATTTGAAGAAAAGATGAACTAGCAGGGAGAGCTGGTGAGACTCCGTCCCAGGAGACCAGTGCGGGGAGGGAAGAAGTGGGCCGGGGAGAGGCAGGCTCACCTGTATTCTCCAAACGTACCGTCGTCTTCCTTCATGGGCTGGATTTCGGGATCAGCGTGGGCGTCTTCCTTTTCTTTAACTGAAAATTTCAAAGTGACATTCTCATCTATTGATCTTGTGTTTCCTTACTCCACGTTGTTACCAGTGCACTCTTTGAGATACATAGCAGTGGAAAGAAAACACTTCTACACAACCATAGGGGTCATATAACACTAACCCTATAGGGAAAGCAACGGTAAACATCATGACATGAAGATGCGCGCTGTTCAGGCATTATTTCCTCGGGGAGACTTCAGGGGCCTCCACCCTCTGCCTGTTGGTTGTGGGTGCTATTTTGGCCCCTATGACTTAGGTGGAGCCTAAGGAAACAGAGTCACTGATATCTTCAAAGAACACATTGATGTACTCCCACCAAATGTCTCCTGTCCCTCAACAATGTTTAGGCTCCCTTTTTTAGATTAAAAAAAGATTTTAAAAAATGGTTTGAACAGGAAGGCCAAATGTATGGTTCTGTAAAGATAGCTTTATTGCAATCTACATGATTTACCCTCATGATTTCTTTTTACTTCAGCAGGTAACTATGCAGCATTGTAAGGCAATTTTAATCGTTATTTCCTACCTGGATATTTGCCACCCTTGTTTCGTCTGATGAAGCAAACAATCAACAAAATTAAGATCAGGAGAGCAACAGCGCACATGAGACCAATGAACCAGCCTTGCGTCGCGATGTCCACCTGCCGGCTTGCCATTGCTGGAAGGCGAATGGATGGCGTCAGTGGGAATGGGATAAGAGAGAGATGTTGGAGTCTCTTGTATAAAAAATTTCTGTAGTATATAAACTTTAATGCGTTTTACATGTGGCCCCAATTTCGAATCTGGTCAGTTATCAACCAGGTATAAGTACTTTACTTTGAAAAATCTTAATGAAAACCATTCAAATAGAGAAATCTGAATATTACCATTAAATGCCAACAAGCCCTGCTGAACATTATGTTCACAGTTATTACAAGTATGTCTTCTCAGTGGAAACATAGTCCCAAACAAATGAACACATTTACTGTTTGTAAGATAAAAATTGTTCAATAAGTACCATGGTAAGAACATAAGACAGAATTTAAGCAGAAGAGAATGTATACATCTAATGGAATATTTTTCCTTCAACGGCACCACTTTGGAGGCTAAACTATTGCAATGATGCTGCCACCTTTCAAAATGTTTTGGAAATCTGTTAAAAAAGAAAACTTACCACATAAAAGAACTGTCCATATAAGACTGGAACCAGCCTTGTTATTTTATATCTCAATTTTTCACTCAAAATGTTACTCAGATTTATTATTCATCTCCTTTGCTAATCATCTTATTTATAAGAGACAGTTCTGAATAACTTTCGCAAATTTCTGAAAAACCCAATTTACCCTCAAAAAGGTCAATATCGCTTAGGAACCATTTAAAAGACCTTGGAGCCCAACTAGCATGGCTCAGTGGTTGAGTGCCAACCTATGAACCAGGAGGTCACAGTTTGATTCCCGGTCAGGGCACATGCCCGGGTTGCAGGCTTGATCCCCAGTAGGGGACATTCAGGAGGCTACCAATCAATAATTCTCTCTCATCATTGATGTTTCTACCTTTCTCTCCCTCTTCCTTACTCTATTAAATCAATAAAAATATATTAAGTGACTTTGGAGTATATCTTGATCAGAGGCATCATTATTGGAATAAGTGACCAGTTTAGAAAGAAAACACTCATTCACATGTACACATATTCTCTACGTCTTCGATTCTCTGTTTGAGTCAATAAATGTGAAGCCTCTTTTCCAACCAAAACTCCGAAGAAAAACATGGAATAATTAGCATTTCTAGTATTATTCAAGAGTGTCAATCAAATGGGACAAAGTGCAGCATCACTGGCTATTCAGACATGCCCATGAGGATTTGTTTAAATAAATTGGTTTAAAACTTTTTCAAAGGTATTTTTCTATTTTGACCATAAAAAAGATAAAAGGTTTTTTGTTGTTGTTGTTGTTCTTTTTTTGTTCATAAGCATGCCTCTGTCATGCTTTTAATTTGATTGAATTTCTTTTGAATACAATTAACATTGTTGGCTTAGGTGTATGTGATCTCTGGATGCGGAAATAAGCATGGCTACATGTATCCTAGGTTCTGATATATGTACAAAAGTGGCACCTCATTGCCTTTTTTTCTCCACACAAAATACAAGGAGAAAAAGGAAATGCTTAAAATCAAGTGTGAAGAGGGATGTGAAAAATATGTGGATGTATGTTCAAGAAATCAAATGAGGAGTGGAAATACATTATCTGGAATATAATGTATTTAAAAAAGAGCTACAAATTTAATGCCAGTAGCCTTTCCCCTTGTGCCTCATGGGTTAGAGGGGATTGAGTTGTATCATAACTTGATACAACGTAAGCACCAGGATAGACAGTGGCCCCCTTCCACACAAGTGCAACAACAATGATGGTGATGATGATGAACATAGTCATAATGAGAGCTAACTTTGTGAAACTCTTACTATCTGCAAGGCACTGTGATGGGAGGAAAAAAAAATCTCATTTAATCTTCACAACAATCCTTTGACATAAGCATGGAGAACAGATCCATGCCCAGAGAGGGTAAAGAGCTTGTTCAAGAGCTGAAGTCTGACCTAAGTCTGTTTGACTCCAGGTACATGGTAGTAGCCATTATGCTCTACCGTTGGAATGCTTTCCTGAAAACATGTCAAATATCAAATCTGCAGAAGTCTTTACAAGAATAAAATGTTGTAGGACTTTCCATTCTGAGAAAGGTAAACATAGTTTAGAAGTCCTACACTATATCCTCTTAGGCAATATATTTCTGTCAATTCTCACGTGGATTTTGTGTGCTTTTTCTTCAAAACTGAACCCAAAACCAACTGGTGTAAATCTTTTGAACATTTGATTGAAGTTTAAAGAATTTTTAGTACACTTAATGATTTACAGCTTTGTCAGAAATAGTATCTGTAGTTACATTTTCTACTAATTGATTGCAACTGATAAAGGCAAAATGCAATAAGATTCTAAAAAACGAGCACAAACATTGTCTTACAAAGATGGTGACTGACAAAATTGAACTGGCAACTTGCTACTGTGAAAAAAGTGGAAATGTTTCTTCGACAGTTCATAAAGGAACATCCAAATTCACCTTAAATGATTGCCTCTACGTCTAAAGAAAAAAAGTGCCAAATATTTCACTACCGCATTCATTATTTAAAATTAGGCAGACACAGAATGTTACCAGATGCATGTGTGTGCACATACTCACATACATACATGCACACACAATGGCACCAGAAGTTGATATAAAACAAAAACTATATAAGTTAAAATAACTTTTATTGACTTCCTATCCATATAAGAATGGATCTAAAGTCCACAGTGACTAAAAAGGCTTCAAATCTTCCCAGGAAACTCTAAAATTATCTTAATTAAAGATGATTTTATAAACCCAAGTTATGCATATCACACACACACACACACACACACACACACACACACAGAATGAAGCCATGGGGACTTTTCTTATTGAATCTGATTTTCAATGTGGGTTATTAGTAAGACTGGGTTGAAGAGAGAAAGAGGATCTTCAATTTATCTAAAACCTTTATAAAATTATGTTATGTATTACTTGGGTAATCCAGAAAGCCATAAATTAAACAAATAGACAAATATCAAGAATGTGAAAAAAGAAAATAAGCCAGCGGAATGAAATTCACTTGGTTTCCTAGGAGTTAGTTTTAACAACAATCTTCTGCTATGGCTTTGCTTGATGTCTTGCAGATAATTTGTGCTCTGTGCTAGTATATCTCTGAGGAAAATGTTCTGAGTACTTAGACAATAAGATGAGCATGGAAGACACAGTGGGATAAATGGCTATAAACAACCCACGATAGCCCAGCCAGCATGGCTCAGTGGTTGACCATCAACCTATGAACCAGAAGGTTGCATTTTATTCTTGCTCAGGGCATATGCCCAGGTTGTGGAATGGCTCCCCAGTAGGCAACTTGCAGGAGATAGCCGATAAATGATTCTCTCTCATCATTTGGTGTTTCTCTCTCTCTCTCCCTTTCTCTTCCTCTTCATTAAAAAAAAAAAAATTAAAAATCCATTACATATAAAAATGCCCTGTTCCATTAAAATAGTTAGAAATATATAGAAAGGGGGGTGGTCGTTTAACCTTGGCTAAAGTTTGGGGGCAGCTGACAGGCTTCAGTAAAAACAAACCTGCTTTAAATCCTTTGTGATTTGAGAGGAAGAGATATGGTAATTGAGGGAAAGAGATGAGAGTGCAGGAAGAGGAGATGGGGCCTAACAGGATTGTGGGTAAGAGGCATAGCATCAGGACCCCGCCGACAGTCCTGTGTGATTTGGTGTTCAACTTTGGTGCCACTGGAAAAAAATGGAGAATTACATCTTAAGTATTCATACTATCAAAGGCAGGGATGGTGTCAGATTAACAAGTGTAGATGAAAGTTGAGTCTAGTTCCTGAAATTAGAAGAACTCAGGAAGTAGTACCTCATTAATACAAAGTTAAAAAATTAGCCAGAAAGGTATGCTTCCATGCCCAGGATTGACATTCAATCTCAGAATGTAGCCTGGAGGGGAGGAGATGCAAGAGCCATAGAAGACAATGCTTTCACACTAGAGTTAGCCCAGTGGCCCTACAGGACAGAGCAATGAAACTGGGAGAATGGGGAGTTGGATTTACAATACATATTTGCTCCAGGAGGTAATATACTAACTAAGGTCACTAGGGTTTAATTAATATTTGTATGTAAAAGATGACAATAACTGGTGTAGCCTTGTCCTATTTCTCCATCGCTGGCATACAAGAATGGCCCACCCATTATGACAGCTCATCTGAACCACCTGACAGCTGCAGCTGGAACTGTAGATATAGCAACACTGAAGAAAAAAAATTTTTTTTTTCTAAAGGGTTTGCCATCTGTCCTATAAAAGGACATAAAAGACCACACCTTGATTTTATGGGTGGAATCTCATTCTAGCTGGATCTGCAAGCTCGAGTTCACTGGACCCTGGGTCCACAAGAGCTGGGAGGACTAAGTGGTTATTTCTGAGACCACTCGTTCCCCTCCTGTGTGGACCTGGGGGACCCTGTGTGTGGGGGGGTAGTGAGAGTCTCTCCTCCAATGCTGGGAGACTGAGACTCTAACCCCAGCTCCCCCACGTTCTAACTGGGTGACAGGCAGGCATCCCGTCTCATGACATGTCACTGGCATACTGTATAAGTGGGTAATAACTCTACCCACATCATAGGATTGTTGTAAGGACTGAATGAGAAAAGCCATGAAAACCATTCGCCTGGCATAGATTAAAGCTGATTAAATGCTAATTCTGTTGTTATTACTAAGTAGTATTCCAGCTGTAAATAAACAGAATATCTACGAGAGCTTTTAGTGTTATGAAATTAAAAGCTATCAATAATAACAAACATCTTGTAATACGGTCAATTGATATTTATCATTTAAGTATAGCACAGTATTTTCCTAGAACTTTGTACACAAATGGATATGAAAATGCAAAGAACAGAACAGAAAAATTTTGTCTTTATATATTATGAATCTAGCATATGAATATTTAAAAATGTAGTTTAGTAAATTATTATTACCTTTGGTTTCTCTCTCTCTCTCTCTCTCTCTCTCTCTCTCTCTTTAGAAATCACTCTTGATTGCATACTTTCTAAATGATAAGAAATGACTTTAAAATCATAATGCCTGGGTAACTAAAGATACAAAAAAATACATGTTGCCTATAGATTCTATAGGAAATGCAACATTTCCTTAAGAATGCATGAAATGACTGAACAGAACATGTATGAATTACAAAATGAACACATACCACACAGCCCTTCTTTAAATTTAAGTAAGCAGAGATTGTTTCCCATCTTGTGAACAAATATGAATATTTTTGACTTTTATATGAACATTTTTATTTATTTTGGAGACCTTAATTATTACTTGTTTTGATAATGTTCAAATAACTAAAATTTATACAGGCAGTCAAATATGATATAATTACAATAAAATACATAAATTGAACAATTTCTTATTCTTCACAAATTTAACAATATTTGCATCAATCGTCTAACCAAACTGCAAGGTTCTGCAGGGCTATCTATCGGCCATTTTGACGTTTGAAAAAAATTTGACTTTATCAATGAGTTTTTTCAGCCTCAAAAGCATTTCAAAAAAGTCCATTCTAACTCTGCAGAACAGTTTATTCATGTATATGATGTGAAAGACTGAGATACCTAAATAATGAAAGTTAAGAATCACATTTAGCTCTGTTTTTGTAATGGTTTTGGCAATAATGTCATTAAAAGATGATTTGCTCAATTCTGTAATTCATTTCATATAAAGAGCCAAAGACAATTAAAAGCCCAACTCCCAACCCAACAGGACCCCACAGAGAGACATTCAGTCCTATCCCCACAGCAGCACCATTTTGCCCCCATCTCCACCGGAGTGCCCGGTGGCTGCACCTCTGAGCATGAGCAGAACTGGCGTGGTGTGCACCTCACCTGGGCCTGTCTCAAACACATCCTCTGAACTCACAAAACCAGAGTCCCCCTCAGCACCAACTCGGACTTTGTATGCTGTTCCTGGCATTAGACCCTTTAACCCAAAGAAGCTCCGAGAACCATTTACAATTTCTTTCCTCCATTCTTCTTTGCCTATGGAAATTTTGCAAAAACAACAAATTATAATATTTTAAGGGACCAGAAGTCACTTAAATGCTTCAAGAAAGGAAAATCCTTTATATCCAAGAGATAAAATATAGGATGTTTATGTATATCATTTTAGGTCAGGTCAAATCAATGAAAATTAAGAACTACATGAAAGTTGATGTTCAGGTTGCAATTTTGCATACGTGCCCATTGTTTTAAATCTTTTTTAATACAAAGGAGGCTTCTTTACCTACACCTTGTCTTAAACCACTAGTGACTTTTTCTATTAATGTGTATAAAAAGAACTGTTACATATTAAATAGTTTAAATGAAAGTTGGGACAACTTGCTTTTAAGATTTTAAGATTAACAAGGTGAATCTTTTAGTAAACTTGAATGTCTTCAATTTTATCCAAGTTATAAGTTCAACCTTCCCCACACATTGGTTTTCCTTAGGGAATAAATAATTATTTGCCTGATTAAGACCTAAATAGAAAGTTGGGCCATGTTTAACATTTCATACAAACATTCCGCGGCCACCCAGCTTATTATGCGCAGAGCACACTGCGTTAGGAGGGGGCAAGAGGTTTTCATAAACTGCTGATAGTCAGAGGTGCCCCAGCTCCTGGTAGAAGCGGCCAGGATGTAAGCAGGGAGCCTGATTTCAGGAATATATTAACATCGAAATACAAGTGGTAATTTTCTGCAGTGTCTGATAAAATTCTGTTGCATAGTATATGCAAAATGACTACTTAAAGTCTGTTTTGATTTGATTTTTGCTATTTCAAGGTCCAATTTGATCAAACTTTTCCTCTTTTCTATTGTATTTACAAATATAATAATTCTTTATTACCCTTGTTTACACATTGTGGGTATAGAACAATGAAAATAACATGCAATAGAACTTAAAATAACAGGAACAAGACAGATTTTTTTTTTTGTTATGCGTAACATATATAGGTTAATGGTTCACTACAATGCTTTTTTAGATAAATCTGATTCATTTAATTGGGTCAAGTTATTTTTTCAAGATGATCCACAGTAAATCTTTTAAAATGTTCTTAATCTTTTTAAATGTATCCCCCAAATTAAAAACCGGGTAATGAAGTTGTTTCTTACTGCCGGCTACACCATATTCAACATAAAAGTTGACATGCTCTGGTCCCTCATATTCCCAACTGATATTGGCATAGGTCTCAGCAGCTGCGACAGTAAGTTTGCTCATCCTGGGATTTACTGCTTGAAATAAATATACAACAGAAAAATAAAACAAACAGACAATCAAATTGCAACGCCATGCACACAAATATAAAACAATCCTAAGTACTCTGAAACCGTGCAAATAAAACTGAGTTAGAGTTTACTGCTGAAATTTAGGGTTCACTCATGCTTCACTTTTATTACAGACAGGTTTTTCATTTATTCAACTACAGCCTTAGAAAATAAGTCCAATTAGAAATAGTGAATGATGCGCAATGTTAAAAATCTAGGAGTTCTACGATACAGGTCCTGCGTAATGTGAACTGTTGTCCATGAGATACAGTCCCAGGAGACACCAACGCCTTCATTTGACTGGTACAGGAGGGCGTGTGGGATTGCTGAGCGATGCTGGGGGCAGAGGTCACAGGCTGCAAGGGAAAACCCAGCACTAGGTGGCTGCTTTCAGTCCTGTTTACTGTGTCAGTGTGGGTCTTTAAAGAATCTGTGTTGGGGGGAGAGAGAATGCTCCTCACAATAGTGGCTTTTGACCTCATTTGAGCCAGAAACTTCTCTAAGACTCTGCCTCTGGGGGTTCAGGGACCCAGGTGAGGAGCACCTGCTTGGAGGAAGGTGGAGGGGTAGGGACGCTGGAAGAAAAGCTGCAGGAAGAATCACCAAATGTGCTTTTATCTGAGGTTAAGAAAGGAGAAATGAAAGAACTGTTTCGCTTGACACATCCCAGAGAGCAAGATCATCTTACCTTCTAAGTGCTCATTACATATCCTGTTCTGAAAAACGGCATCTTAAAACACCAAATTACGGAGGTTACTTGCTACAGAGTAAAGACGGCTCCTATAGTTATTAAAAGATGTTTTGTGGGCATCTGAAGCTGACAATGATGTCAGCTTTACCCCAAGTGCCTAAACTTAAAATAACGTATTGACAGATATATTAACTTGGGTAGTTAAAACTGATAAGACCAGTTTATTATCCCAGAGAAAACATCCCAGATTAGGAAATCAGAAGGGTTACTCAGACTCTAAAATTAAATTCCAAATGATGTTGCGTAATTTAGAAGCTAAAGACCTCTTACAAATCTAAAATGTGATGAAACTGCACTTCTCGGGATCTAAAAGAGAAGTATATTAAGAAATGAAATAATGTACTTGACCTCTGAGGTACACTTCACCATCACATTGTGTGCCCCTTCGTGCTAAGGGTGGGAAACGGCAGAGAGAGAAATATTGATTACTGAATTACGTGGAGTCCTTCTGTGGACCTAATTGATTTTGCACCTGAAGAAATAGATAACGATAGGAATATGATCAATAAACAGAGACTGTGAATATGAACATGCGTGTAAAACATCAGTGGCAAAGAACCAAGGCAAAACTTTAATTTTCTTTAAAAATTTTTGGGATCATGGAACTGAGGAACTTAACCTGCTGTAATTATGGAAAATGTTGAAGGCAGAACCATAGTGAAATATTTCTAACAGAAGAACAACATCTCACTTATTCTTCAAGACACCCAGAGAAGATAATGCCATTTTCTGAAGTGCTGTTTGGCTACTTTTTGTCAGAGAATTCCAACTCTCCTGGCTTTGACTCCCCACTCATCCACCTTCTTAGTGAACAAACACTCACTGAGTACACCTAAGATGTGTCAGACTATGTCTCCTGGAGCGTGCTAGTGTCATTTCTCAGCTGGGCTTTCTCAGGAGTCCACTCTAGTCTCTCTTCCTACTGTGTCTTTCTACGTTTTAGCTTCTAAACTATGTATCTGATCCTGACATTTCTGTTTAAAGTGTGGAGTTGACTGACCTCTGGTGACAGGTAAACAGAAATTCCTTAGCTAGGCAAGCATGGTCATTAGTCATGTGTCTTCACCTAACTCTTCCCCAGGCATATCTCAGGTTCGGTTCTTTCCTAGGCACTCTACATTTTGGGCAAACTCATGCCTTTGCTTATTACCTTACTAATAATTTATACACCCCCCCCCCCCTCAACCCATCTGCCAAAATCCTGTATTTGTCTCAAGGCCAAATTTGTTATTACTTTCTTTGTGAAGTTTTTCCTAACCTTGTTTGGCAAAATAAATGGTTCACTCCTCTATGTTCATATTCAATTTTGTTCAAATAACTAGTGTAGCATCTATGTTTATTCTCTTTTGTTCGTTGGGTCTTAACTGGCTGTGTTTTACCATCTAGATACACAGTGTCTAAAAGGCTATTGCATCAGACCGTGAACTTGACTGAACCCTTTATATAGTCTTTTGTTGTTGTTGTTCAGGTGAAATAAAACTGTAAACTTAAACTTGATTTTAATGTACTGGTTCTTTAGGTTTTCCTGTGCCTTGACCTAATTGGTAGCAGTGGGACCAACTCTGATATAATTATATTGTGAGAGTCTGACCACAGAGAGGATGTCACCAGCTCCTCAGTGTCCTCCTCTTAATTAATTGTCAGCTGCTAATTAGGTCAAGAACCAGATTCTGTTTCTGACTTGCCAATTCCTTTCTTCCTATTCCTGTGCCCTAACTAGTCACTTCGCAAACATGTTCTGAAGACTGGTCCCAAGGGTGAGAAAGTAAAAGCTATCAGTAAGGCAGTGTCCATTCATCAGCAATCCAGAGACCTTAACTCAAATCCATCAACTGCTTCGGTTCATTTTTACAGATGCCTTCACAGGTCTATTTCCTAGAGTACTAGACACAAAACTACAACGTGTCCCCAAAAATGTATGTACACTTTGGCTGCCATTTTGAATTCCAATGGGTTAAATCTAAAAAGAAAGTAATGCCCATTGAACTATCATCAGCTGTTAGTTTGTATACATTTTGGGGGGAGGGGAAGGGGACAGCCTGTATGTAAAAGGACACAGAAATTGAACAAATGCATTCAAACAACTACCATTCTTACTGAGATACTGAAAACAAAACAAGGACATGGATCAAAATAAGTGACTCCTAAAGATCTCGGAGTATTCCCACGATCAAATTGAGGAGAGTGGTAAGAAAAAGGGAAGGTAAATTAATTATCCTGGCTTCTTCGTGGCTTACTAAGTAATCCTTTTTGTAATTCTATATGTGTAAGTTTGGGTTTCATTAACATGGCTTAAAATCTTCCAGAAAGCTAAAAAACTAAACTTAGATGCAACTCTTTTCCCCTCTTCCACCAGAAGTTAGTTAAAATCATTAGAGGCTGGTACAGCTGAGTCTATCACACATGATTTTCCTCAGTGATTTATCTCTTCTTTATTCTCTTTCATGCTGCTTTAAGTTAAAGTATAAAAGATATATAAAAGTATTAAAATTTTGAGAGGACTGTGGAACACTTTTATTCTTCTCTCTCAGGGAGTATCTAAACCACACCTGGAGAAGAAAAACAGAGAAGATAAAATTTATGCTTAGATTGAAATACAGAAATATTTTTTAAGTAAGGAAAATCCAGGATAACAATTTCTTTTTGATCAGCTTAAATTCTTATCAGTAAAACATCATCATTTTATGCAAGCAATGTTTAATTACTGGTGCACTATTAAAAGAAACACTTTAGAAAGTGAGGATAGATTTAGCTTTCTCTTAAATTTTAAATTCCATTTCTCTTCTTATCTGACATCCATCAGATTTCAACACTTCCTGACACTCCATATCTCTATAATCATAAGCAATTCGCAATTCAATTGAGTAGCATTAAATGATAAAACCTTAACTATTTTAATAAAGATTTATTTTAGTTAGTTTTAATTCATTAAAATAAGCAGGTGATGCCCTAGCTAGTTTGGCTCAGTGGATAGAGAGGGTCAGCCTGTGGACTCAAGGGTTCCAGGTTCGATTCTGGTCAAGGGCATGAACCTTGGTTGTGGGCACATCCCCCGTAGGGGGTGTGCAGTAGGCGGCTGATCAATGTTCCTCTCTCATCAATGTTTCTAACTCTATCCCTGTCCCTTCCTCTCTATAAAAAAAATCAATAAAAATGTTTTAAAAAGACTCTTGGAGGGAAAAAAAAAGGTGATGCTTTTTCTCAGTGGATTGCATGTCCCATTCTAACATGACAAGTCTATGGGAAACTCAGATTCACTGTGTTTCCCATGTGCAACAGGCAGCCCGTTGCAACACAAATTACTCGGCTCTTGACTCCAGGCATCCTTTGTCCAGGGATCGAGGCCAGGTTTTCTCTGGGCTGCTTCAATGAGAGGTTAAGAGGGGACCTGGCAGCAAATGATTGTAAACAACCAAGGATTTTAATTGCTATCCAACTGTCCCAGGGAAGAAGAATACATATAAAAGAGGTTTACATCTTTTTTACAATATTATGGAAATTTTGGGAGTTTTACAACTTTGTTCAAGTCTAAAAACACACAGATAACATATTAAGATTAGCAAAAAAGGCTATGGTTCTTATTCAATTACTCTAAAACCTATCTAATCTACATTTTATAATTTACCAAGACTCTGACTGTAAGCAGGTTTCTAAGAAAATAGAAGATGTGTATCAGACTTAAGCTCACAAGATTTGAATAATTTGGGACAGAGTACTTGTTTCTCTTGGTCTTTTTTTTCATTCCTATTTGTGTTCACTCAGTCTGTCAAAACCTAAGAAAACCCCTGCCCAGGGTTCTCCCCCAAGAAAGCATGTCCAAGGCTAACAGACCAAACACAGCCAAGGGTGAAAGACTGGGGACCTTTGGGACTGCCTCATGTGGAAGACACACTGCAACATATTCAAACATCATTCTCCCAGCCAATCTTTCTCACCCAGAGTGCTGTGCGCGATACAGGGGAACAGAGTCATCCATTGTGGTGACTGGCTAGTACCCAGGACGAGGAGACTTGAGCAGTTTTGTGACGACAGGATGGAGTAACACAACTGAGTAGAACATGCAGGTGGACGGAAAGACGCTCCTTGGGGATCCTGGTGGGCAGACTTCTAGTCCCAGGATAGTTAGAGGGTATCGACTGCTAAGCCAAAATTTCCAGTGGGCAGTGTAGTGTAATGCAGCAAAGTGTACAGTACCCTGTGTCTGTGAGGGGTCTAGCTAAATCAGAATGGAAAACTCTGTTGATCTGATTCCTTACAGTTTATTTCATCACACGACTAATATTTCTTTAATATGTAGTATGGCCATAGAGAGGACCTGTGACAAATCCACAGTTTTGGTCCTGTCTGATCCAGCCACGATCATATCATTAAAAGCTAAGATTAGGATTTGCACCAGGGGTAAGTCTTGAGAAAAGTCGCAGAAAAATGTAATGTGTGGCTTTCTATTTGTATAAAGACTAAATATTAATGTTAAAGCCAAGATCTGCCAAGATCTTCTCTTTCTTTTGTTGTTTCAAAGCTTATCTTATTTTCTCTTTTAACTCATGCTGCACTTTCCCATGTTTAACATTGCAAATTTCACACATGTAGAAAGTCATGCAGATAAATTATTTTACCTTTGCCTGCACCTACATCAGGTGGAAGAATACCAGCTTTAATGAAGGGAAACAGAAATAGGACACTATATAGTTAAATGTAACACACCCATGAGCATGTAAAGCTATATAAAAACACTTATTACAATGCTAAAGCATGCAAGAAGAATGAAGTGTACCATATCAGGTTCAGGGGACAAAAACATGTCTGTGTCCCCAAACTTACACAGTATTCATACCCACATTTAAGGCACATTATTCATGCCTATTATATAAGAAGGCTTAGGATATCTCAAACCAATTTTAGAGTAACACTGTCAATTTCTTATGCTATGGAAGATAATCAAATCTACAATCCTTAAACAATTCTACAATTTAGAGACATGCAAAAAGAGGGAATCCTTTATAATATTTTTATTGAATCTAAAGGTTTTCAAAATAATTTTAAACAACATGAAAGAAAGTGTTCGTTTCTTTTCTAGATACTTTAATGGAGCTATTTTGCTTTCTCTGTGCCAGATGGTCCATCAAAGTACAAAGTCCCATGCTTAAACACAAAATAAATGCTCTATTTAATTTCATTGCTAGAAAACCTAAATCAGTAGATGGACTAGCAAATCTCATTCTGGTGAACCAAGGCCAAAACTTGAATCACTTATATTTATTTGAGTATATGTATGCATGTCTGTGTGTGCATATATACTAATATTTGTATTACATATACATGTATGTATATGTGTATGTATATACGTAAAGTTATAAAAAGGAAAAAACAGTGACTTGAACTTTAAATTCAAGTGTGGCACAATATTGCAATTTCCCACTCTCACCTCAACATATTAATGTAAGTTTAACTTTTTCACATGGACTTGGGAAACAAATATCAAGTAATTATTCCAATAAGAATTAAATAATTGATTTTATGTATCTGAGTGAGAAATTGTAAGTAAGTGTTTATATTAATTGGATAAGATGAACACTCCATGGTCAGAAGAAAAGAGAAAGCATACATTGAAGTTAAGGAGCTTTGTTTCGCAATAGTTATAGTTTATGGATTTTATACATACCCATCTTACCTTCATCCACTGTTGTTACTGCTTCCTCTGTTATTTGACTTCCTGATCCTGCTGATGTTTGTGCATAGAAATAAAACTTATACCGAGTGCTGAAATTTAAATTTTTTAGAGTCCAACGTGTCTTGTTGGCAGGAATTTTCAAATCTACCAGTGGGCCTAATTCATGGGTGCTGTTAACTGTTAAGAAGGGAAAAAAAGAGCATTTCCATTAATTGTTACAGCAATACTATTATAAATAAATGTGTCCACCAAAAATGTCAAGTTTGGATTATACTGATTTTTTTTGCCCAGCATAACTGATAACCTTTTACAGTTTCTATAATATGGCATAAGAGGGGGAAATATAGTCTCTACTGGCTTCTAAGCTAAGGGAATTTTATAGTTGAATCAAGATAGCATTTCTCATCTCAGGGATTTTGCAGGTGGAGTCATGTATTGTTAAATAATCCCAAACCTCATGTTCAGAGATCTTGTGCCAAATGAATGAGGGTTACTATTTTCTAGCTACAGATAATGTCTAACGATAGCACCTAGCTAAACCCCATGCTTAAAGGTCTGTACTAGTTTACAGAATACTTAATTTTCAATACCCTATATGTAATTTAAAAAAATATGATTTAAAGTTCCTTTTTGAATAAATCTTGAAGGTATATGTACATATTCCACAGCTACAAAGAATGACCAGTTGGTATTATAAGATAACAGTTTTTTTTAAATCCTTTTACATTATATTTTCCATTTTCCCTTCTCCCAATAACTTACTTGGCTGATATTTTAAGGTGTACTCAGTCAAAATGCCATTCGGGTGGCTTGGTGGATCCCATTCCAAAGTGAGAGAGTCTAGTGTTGGGTTAACAATCTTCAAGGAGGACGGGGCACTGGGAACTTATAATGAGAACACAGTCAACATAAAGGCTTTTCAACGGTTCAAAATGTATTAAAATGACATATTTCACCACGTTCACACAATTCACCAAGGTTTTTGTTTTTTATAACACATTCTTGTTCCTGATTCAGCTGTAAATACATTGATAGAAACCTGTGACAGGTACCCATTTATCCATTCTCTTCCTCTTTTTTTCTTACCATTTCCATTTAGATTTATTAAAACCATTCTCTCAAAATACATAGATTTTTGCCTTTGTTTGGACTGAAACAAAAAAAATTAAAAACAATAAATTTAATAAAAATTTAAAAAGATACTATACTGATTTGTTTAATGAATGATGTTTTAATAAAAGCAAATTAGTGGCCTTGAATGGCTAACTCAGTTGGTTAGAGTGTTGTTCTGATATGCTAAGGTTGTGGGTTTGACACCTGATCAGGGCACATACAAGAAGCCACCAATGAATGCATAAATGGAACAACAAAGTAATAGGTCTCTCTCTTTCTCTCTCTTTCTCTCTCTCTCACCAATAAAAAATAAAATAAAAAGGAGTATTTTCTAAGTTAATAAGCCAGAGATAGACAAATATCACATGATCTCACTTGTGGAATCTAATGAACAAAATAAACTGACAAAGTAGATCAGAGACATAGAAGTATAGAACAGATGGACAGATTTTGGAGGAAAGAGCGGTGGGGGTGACAGGAAGAGCTTAACCAAAGAACATACAGGTATACATATATGTATAGCCCATGGACACAGATAACAGAACCGGAAAGGCCTGGGGTGGAGTGAAGGCTGGGTGGAAGGGGGCAAAGAAGGGAAAATGTGGGACATCAGTAACACTGGCAACAATAAATAAATAAATAAAAGAAATGAAATGAAAATAAAAGCAAGCTAGTGGCTGAGTGAAATCATTCTGACCTGGCCTCTGAGTGGAAGCAGCTGCGTGCTGGGCTATTAAGGGCTGTTTTCCCCAACAAACCAGGTGTCTCCAAACAACCTGCCCACAGGGCTCTTGGCATGAGCCAGCCTGCCCAGGCGCGGAGCAGTTCTCCCCTGGAAAGCTGACAGATGCCCAGCATCTCGTGGTGAGGGACAAAAGCCCCAAATGCTGGCAAGCCCTGGCTCTGGGGCAGGCCTGCAGGTGTCAGGTTCTCTGTGGCAGAGGTTGGCAAAGGACCAGAGGAGACATGCCCAGGCTTCTTTTACGGCTCCTTCAAGAGGATGATGGATGGTGGCAGCCTTCCCTAATGATCATTACCTCCTCTACCCGACCTACCACATTCCCTAGACCCACCGATGGCACCACTGTTCTGCCTGTCACTCTAGCCAGGAACCAGGGAGTCATCCTGGATTACCCCGTGTCTCATTCCCACCACCTCCTGGGACACTACATCCTGTGAATTCCACCTCGTTCCCTCCTCTGCTCTCTGCCACCACCGCATTTCAGGGCCTCTGTGGCCTTTGCCTGTGTCTACAACACTCCTGGCTCATAGTTCTAAGCTTCCCCCAAACCAATAAGTGGTTCCTAACTGGAAGATCACGGACCCCTTTGGGAATCCGATGACAGCCATAAATACTCCCTAGAAAAACATATACCTTTTCCCATGATTCTGGTGCTTATTGATTCCATATGAGAGACTACAGTCCCCAGGTGAAGAGCTCCGGATTAATATCACAGCATTAAGACCATCGATGATATGGGTCCTCCCTAGCTGACCTTGCCCTCCTTTCTCACCATTCCCGGCACACAACTTGCAGTTCCCCAAAGGAGCCATGCTGTTTCACACCTTTGTGTATTTGAGCATGCTACTTCCTCTCTTCTTTATCCTTTCATCCCCTGGTCCCCTCTTGTATGACACCTTCCCCTGAACCATCCAAGACCAGTGTGGAGTCTCTCTAGGGAAAGCCTTAAGCGGAAGGAGCCCTTAGCCCAGGCGTCCTCAAACTCTTTAAAGTGGGGGCCAGATCACAGTCCCTCAGAGAGCTGGAGGGCCGGACTATATGAATTACTAATTCCTACTGTAACACCTCGGCTGCGCTCACTGCCCAAAAAACCTGGCGGGCCGGCTCAGACTCCTCTGCGGGCCGCATGTGGCCCTCGGGCCGTAGTTTGAAGACGCCTGCTAGCCTCTAAGGAGCAGTGAGACGGAGGACCAGCAGTGATGATGAGGTGGGAGCCAGGACACAGGATGACTTCAGAAGCTGTTGGGAAGCCGCTGACATCATGAGCCCTTCAACAGGAGCCAGGACAGAATTTGTCTGGGAACTGCTTTTACGTAAAAGAACTAATGAATCCATAGACGTTACCTGGCTCATTTTCATTTGGCTTGAGACAAAATTCAAATGAGGTAAGGCTGATTTTCAGTACCTTTTTCCAGTCCCTATCTTTCTCACTTATGGCCTCTCTCCCTCATCCACAAGGCTCCCATGTCCAAACTCCTCCTTCCCCCACTCCCACATAACGCACATGTGGGCATCTCTTCCTCTTCCTCTTGTAGTGGGTTATACTTGCAATGACTTTTCCTTCTCTTCCCAACCCATTTTATCAAGACTTCCAACCTCTAACTCAGCTCATGTGCAGCATAAACTATGCAGGTGCCCTGAGAAAGGAATGTACGGTGACTTGTGAATTACTTTCTTTTCTAGACGGTTTTCCTAGGGTATCATCACATTTAGTTCCCATACTTTAGATTAGGTAATGGAGGCTTATAGAAGGTATAGAACTTGCTTCCTAATGACAAAAATAAACATCAAATTAGCAAGGTTTCTGACGGTGTGACTAAGGGTGGACAAGAATTTAAGTCCAGGGAGAGGAGATTTTAGGGCAGCATTCTGTGATGTGACGCCTTCATCCCCTCAGTCCACACAAGGGCCTCCAGCCAGTATTGAAAAGGAGCCGGGTTGTGCATGCTGTGTTCATCTATGGCAGTGTTTCCCAAACTTCTCTCCTCATGAGAATCACCAGGTGGAGTTGTTAAAATACAGATTCCTGAATCCCAACTAAGAAGTGCTAAACTAGAATTTTTGGGAACATATAGGTAAAATTGTGTTCTAAGACAGAGCACTAAGTTAAGTATACAATTTTACCTACGTATATGTTCCCAAAAATTCTAGTTTAGCACTTCTTAGTTGGGATTCAGGAATCTGTATTTTAACAACTCCACCTGATGATTCTCATCATGAGAGAAGTTTGGGAAACACTGATCTATGGGGTATCACATTGGGCTTCCAGAATATACTTTCTTTGGGGGCCCTTCTGTCACACAACGCCTCTCAGCACGCGCCACACCTTGCTAGGGTCTCAGAGACACGCCCACCTCGTACCTCCTTCCGGCGTATGAAACACTCTGTCAGGGCTGGCCGGGCCCTCCCCTTTCCCATTGACCACGCGGACGTTCAGCGTGTAGTGGCTGAAGGGCTCCAGCCCCGGCAGCATGCCGTGGGTCTTGCTGCCCTGGAAAGTGAGGATCTTTTTCTCAATGTGGCGTCTGTTTCTCTTTGACGAATTCTGGTCCGTCCAGTAGTAAATCTGAAGCAGCAAGAACAAAAGTCAGGGATGTATAAGGAGGCAAGCAAGATTACAGCTTTATGGGCTTTTCCCCTTGGTGCCTTTGGAAGACTACTGGAAAAGCTGAAAAACACGGATTCTGAGGCAAGAGAGTCCGAAGCCCACAGATATTGAGGGAAGTCAAATTAAGAATATCTGATGCTGGGCTATCCTATTTTGTTGGAGGAATACAAGTGAAAGAAATGAAATAGCACACACCAATTCAGTTTTCTCTAAAAGCCAGCAGAAGGATTTCAGTGTCTGACATGTAAAATATTCTAAAAGTAAAAATTACTGGCCAATGTTTAGGTACTTTTTCCAGAGTTAATAAAACTTCATGGACAAAATGTCATTTAGTTTAGCCCTAACATCCACAGAGAAGCGTTTATTATTATTATTCCTATAGTATAGATGAGCCTTTGGGTTACCAAGTGACTTGTACAGGGCACAGGTCAATCAAGTGTGACTCCAAGTCCGGGGCTCTCACACCTATTTTTTGTATTATATTGTGATTGATTAACCAAGTATTGATTAACTTTGGTCAAAAATACAGAACTGTTGTTTATCAAGTCATTTTAAATTCTTCTTAGCGGTTTAAAGAGAATTTTTTAAAGAGAAGTCAACATATGCAGAATTGAACAATGGTAGAGAAAAAAAAATAAAATTGAACATGATGCAGTGCAAAACGTGGCCTCTAGGGGTCAGGGTTGACAAATCAAAGGAGGGATTCTTTTTTTATGGTTGAATGTAAAAACAGTTGACTATCAATTAAAAAAACCCTCTATAAACCAGTCTTTCTGTGCTTCCCAAGAACAAAGATGGTTGATATTCATAAGAATTACCTAGCTGGTACTTTATGATCTTAAAGTATAATATGAATTATTTTCTTTAATGTCTACATTATTTTCAGGATAATTTGTGTATTCAGCACTTGTGGTTGGTATAGTTTTTAAGTTGGGTGCATTTTGTTATATCTAATTTTTCAAACATCAGTTTTCCACATTTTGTGCATGTGATAATTGCTTAGCTGGCAAAGTCTTAGGTTATCTGTGGGAAAAATGGAGAAAACATTTTCCCTCTCACTTTTGGATGCAGTGGAATTTTGATTCAGTTTTAGCTGGGGTTGTTTAGATGTGGCCTGCCCGAGGCGATAAACCAGATGAACTCTCAAGATCAACTTCTCCAACCAAGAAAAGTGCATCTGGCCTTCAGTGATGGGCTGGTCTGAAGGAAAGAACAGGAACGGTCTCCCTTCACTTACCCGATAGCCTTGCAGGTGTCCGCGGACACTTTTCAGAGGCACTGGGTCCCAGTGCACCTCAGCTAAGGTACTGTTCACCACGGTCACATGCACATTCCCAGGAGCCACCATGGGGACTAGGGAAAAAGAGGGTGGGAGGATAGAAGTACCAATGTTATTTTGAATTTCTTGCAAAAAATGTCACTGTCTAATAATTTTGGCTTTATTGAAGCAATGCTACAGACCTATCCTATAAATGATCAAGGACTGAGATGAGACTTTGAAAGAATAATATCTTGCCCTGACTGGCATGGCTCAATGGCTAGTATCATCTGCCTGTGAATCCTAGAGTTGTGGGTTCAACTGCCAGTTGAGGCGTGTGCTGGAGACAACCAATTGACATGACTCTCTCACATCTCCTATCTCCCTCTCCCCCCGCCCCTCTTTCTACTCTCTCTAAAATCAATAAAAAAAAAAATATCCTCCAGTGAGGATTAACCCCCTCCCCCCAAAAGAATAACAACTTTTAAAAAGTAATAACTTTTAACATTCTGAACCCATTTTTCTACATAGTAGGCTGTTTAATTCAGAAATGTTGAACAAAATCGCCGCTGCCTCTCTTCCTTCCATTCTAAACACGTCTGGAAGTAGACTTGGCTTGTACTTTGGTAAGTCTGTTTTGCTGAGAAAAAGTATAAACAAAACAGTGTCGGCCACTTACGGTCTTCTCCAGAATGTCCCATCACTACCGCTGGCTCTGGAGCAAACCCCACATCATTCAGAGCCTGGACTTTGATCAGGTATGGAACAAAGGTTGGTGTGCCCGAGACAATATATTTGGATACATTTGCCACAATCACAGAAGTCCATTCATCGTCACCATCTTTCTGGCGCCAGCTCACTTTGTACTGAAGGCCTGGCCCATTAGATTCAAAACCATTCAAGGGCTACAAGAAAAGCCAAATAATCAGAGCTTATAAAACAAGTCAACTGCACAACCTTTTATAGAAACAACAAAACCAATTCTCAGACTTAAAGTGAGTGCTAAAACACTAAAATATAAGCTGCTGAGATATTCTCCAGGGCCCTTTTATCTTTTTTCATTTTTTTTATGACCTTCAAAGCTTGTCTAGGGCCTACACTTCAAAGATTGTTCATTTCTATCTTATAATATATATCACATAAGCCTCTCAAACTCTGGCTCCACTGACCAGAGTGGGTAACTTAAAACATTCAGTTATATTTTCTATATCTTCCTGGAAATAGACTTGGCTTGCACTTTGGTAAGTCTGTTTTGCTGAGAAAAAGTATAAACAAAATTTTTATATCTTCTATATCTTCCTGTTTGTGTGACAGTACATCATTGTCTATGTCACTTGGAGGCTGAAACTTGTAAACTGCATCTATTCTGTTTCTACATGTACATATACTCTCTCTCTCTCTCTCTCTCTCTCTCTATATATATATATATATATATATATATATATATACACACACACACACACACACACACATATGTGTGTGTGTATATATATATATATATACACACAACATATTTTTGCATATAAGCATGCATGAACAGAGCTATCTAAAAAGTTTTTAAATTATATGTTAATTTTCCAAGTTCAGAAAATACAGATAAGCAAAAAAAGGAAAAAAAAAAAAAAAAAAAGAAAAGAAAGAAGAGAAGTTGACTATTAGGAAAAACTTGGTACATGTCTTCTAGAAGGTTCTATATAATGATGCTACTACTAGCTCACATTTCTTGAGCACATGTATGTGCTAGGCACTGCTGCAGCCATTAAATGAAGTTGGTTCTATTATTCTTCCAATCATACAAATACAGAATGGAGATGTTAAACAACTGGCTTAAAGTCACATAGCAAGTGGCAATGCTGGAATTTGCATGCATTCATCAAGATTTTAACTACTACACATTCTGTCTTTTAAGAAAAGATATATAACATATATTTTCCTCCAAATGGATAAAATGGGATTTTAAAAGATATTACTTTAAAATTAGTTTTTTTGTGTGTTTTTTTTCACTCTAAAGTGTACAGAGGAAAGTTGAAGGCTTTATACATAGCTCACCTGCCAGGTAATCACCAAATTATCGGGCTCTGATCCCAGTCCTTCCACCATCATGGGATTTTTATCTGGTTCTAGAAGTTAAGCAGCCACACACATGTAAGCTTTGGTCTTTTTCAGCCAGTGGCAAACTTTTATTTTTTTATTTTATTTCATACCACAGAAATCCCGCTTCACCTGCAGCTTTGGTCAAATACTGCTCAGACGCCTCGCTGGGCGAGCTCCTGCCCAGACTGTTCTCTGCCATCACCCGGAAGGAGTAGTTCACATACGGAGACAGCTTCAGCTGGGCTCTGGTCTGCGTCCCTGGAACTTCCGCTTGGTGGTGCCACAGCCCCGCCTCATGCATTGCATTTTCATATTCAATGATGAATTCTGGCCACAACATACACACATACAACAAATGCAAGACAGTGAATTCTGTCACTCAAGGGTAGGCTGCTAGAATAATAAACAACAATTTTAACGCGAGTAGTCAAATACGAATTATTTCACTTTCAAGAAATATTTCATTAAGGTATTTTGATTTCAGAGTTCTAAAATCCTCTTCAATACCTAAGAATACCCAATACATTTCTCTAGAGTGCTGAATTTAGTTACTGAAAATTCCGAAGGGATCTGCAGATGGCCCTAGGAAAGTTTAAATATATGAAAAGATGGTCATTATTTTTCATTATAGAAGTTAAGTTAAATACAGTGAGAAACCATTTCTCACTAAACAGACTGACAACAATCAAAAGTTGAACATACTTAGCCGACGCTGACTATGACTCAGGGAAAAAGTATTCTCATACTCTGTGGGAAGTGTAAACTGATACAACTTCTATAGAGAGCAATTTATAACACTTAAAATATTTAACTCAGATACCCTTTGCTTGAGAAATTGTGCTTCTAACAATTTATTTAGAATAAATGCGCTCATGCATGTGATCAAATACACATGCTAAAGAACCCACATTGCAAGTTTGCATTTGAAAGAACCTAATTGCAAACAACCTAAATGTTCATCAGTAGGACACTCATTAAATAAATTATGGTGCATCCTCACGTGGAATACTCTGCTGCTATAAAACAATGAATGGAGCTGCCCCATATGTACTAAAATGGAATAATTTCTAAAGTATATTGTTAAGCCAAACCAAGTGGGATATAGGACACTGTGTACTGAATATACTACACTTGTGTAAAAGTAAAAAGATTTTCTCTGACACATACACATTCAAAGATGCTTAAATGTGCATGTATTACCTCTCAGAAGATACATACATACCACTGGTGTCACTGGAGGAACTGGGAACCAGGGATGGGAGGAAGACTCACTTTTCAGTGCATACCTTCTTGCATCTACCAAAACTGTGTGGTGTGGACATGTTTTAACCCTTATAAAAATAGGCACTCATCAACTGCCTGATATTTGCCACGTGCAATAATATGAATTGTAGATACAACGATGAATTAGAAACATCATGTGTTGCAGTGCTCCGTCCTTTCAATCCACACTAATTTGGAGGTGATCTCCAGTCACATAAACTGATCACTTTCACATGAATGTCTGCAGCCCGTGAAATGCAGACTTGAGTAGTTAATTGCCTGCCCAACAGCTACACTTGTTTGTCTATGACAGCATCTCAGATTGGATATGGCCAAGACTGATCTCCACTCCCAGTGTTGGGCCAGGAGACCTGAGGCTGCATCCCCCTGCCTGGCGGGGCTTGACAAGCGGGGGAGGACTAGCCGGGTGTGGATCTAGCCCAATGAGGGGGGGGGCTTCCAGGTCTGAATCTCATGTGATTTTGAGGAGCATGTGGGTGGGGGGACTTGACTCTGGGTCCCGTAGTGCATCCCAGACTCTGACAGGAGGAAGGTTTTCATATACATTTTACTAATTTTCTCTCATCTCTGAAACTTCCATTATAGAAAGGGCAAATAGCAATATTAAATTATTTCCTCTAATTAATCCCCTTTTAATGTGCATGAATTTCATGCACTGGGCCACTAGTTATTTATACTGTAATTACAATATTATTCATTTTATCTTATTTGTGTCCTAAAAATAAAATAAAGGGCCATATGGGCAGATAATTTTCATTGTTTTATTTTAGAACAATGCTTGATAAATAATAGGCACTCAATAAATATCTGTTGAATGAAGGGTGAGTAGAAATGCCTTGAAATCTAATACTATCATTGTATTCTAGGTAAAAAGAGTGTCCAAGCAACCTAAGCAGCTAATGCATTGAGTTAAGTGGAAGCTTCAGTTCATTAGTCTTCCTGCAGTATATTCCTGAAGATAATAATATATTATAGGCATGTGTCTTGCATGTGTCTACACTCAAGTATCTTTATGGTTTTAAAATTTCTAAACTTACCTATAGGCTAATTTTATTAAGCTCTTCAAGTACCTTCCTGGTATGGTCCCTCACCTGATTTTATTCCCTAGACTTACATCATCAGGATGAGGCATTGACAGAGCTGATGGTGCCACCACTTTGCAGTAAAGATTAGGAGAAAGATACCTGGGTCTGGAAGTTAACAGACCTGATGTGAGGGTTTGAAAAGCCACTATACTCTCTAAGTCTCAATTTCCCAATATATAGGCTAGGCATTATAGCACCTGAATATCTTACCTTTTACTCCACATTAATGGGCAAAATGAGTAACTTACAATGCATCTTCTTACAGTGGTAGAAATTTAAACACAAAATGATAGTGTGTTTGCTTAGCTAACATCTTCAGCAATCGATTAGTGTCCCGTATCAGAACTAAACCAGAAATAACTCTAGCTCTGAAGAGAAGACATAAATAAATGTTTTTGTTCTATTAGTAAAGAAGCACAGAATGCCATCATATATCTCTGTAAGGAATTTCAATTGCAAATGATAAAGTGATTAAAAAATGGTCATTATCTGCAGCCGTGATGAAGCGAATGGCACCACCTACTTGTAATAGGGCTGTTGTTGTCATCGCCTGGGGTCCATGACAGCTGAACACTTTTGTCGAGTTGATCTGTCAATTCTAAGTCAAAGGGAGGATTTGGGACATCTGTAGACCAAACATACATTGTAATTAACCATCCATCCTTATGAGGTTGTCCTTTACTTGTGATACTATTCATAGCGGGGATGTATTAAAGGAACAGCATACTGAACGGTCAAGGAGCATGCAACTGAAATGAAATGGAAACAGCTGAGGTTGCTGGGAACACACAGCACACCCAGGACAACCCATCAAGGGTTCCGCTTGCTTCTTTTTCAAATGAAACTAAATTACTTGGAACCAAAGCCAATGAAGTGGGTGTGGGTGGTTCACCAGCACTCTCAGTGTGTTACCTTCTCATGAACATGAATGAACAAAGGCAGAAAAAATGATATAGAAAAGTAATTTCTAATAAATGAGAAACGGAATAGTAAATGCTAAAAAACAAATACAGGCAAGGACATGTACAGTTCAAAGAAGACTCAAATGTTCTCCCTGAAACATGCTAAGCTAAATCATGGATCTGGGGAGCTCCTGAAGAATATTTATGTTTTTAAGGGCGTTCTATAATTGATGCTCAATAGGTAGCTCTCAGCATGCACACCTTATGTGGATATTCCGCACAACAGTCACATGGGAAGGTGTGTTTATGCTACTAATAGGCTTATATAAAAGCCTGATTTTTGTGGAATGATATTTAAAATAGCTTTTTAAATTCTGTAAAATGTGGATGACAGCTTTTGAGCAAACACTATGCTTTTTTACAGGGAAATTATATCAAAGAGGGACATTTATAAAATGAAACGACTTTAAAATGACACGTGAAATGTTTAGAAGAGAGTGGCAATACATTCAGTGAAATGTTCCAGAGTTATAATGAAGAAATGAGGCACAGCACTAATGGAGCAACACAACAGAACAGGTGACAGCCCTTTCTTAAAGAAACACAAAGATGTGATAGGGAAAAATTAATTTTTCTGCGAAAGTGAAATTGTTTGACAGAAAATAGAAAAAGAAGACTCATTAGTTTACCGTAAATGGGAGCTGGAGTTGGAGTAGGAGCTAGAAAGGACATTAATATAAAGGATTTTAATCATAATTAGTAATGGAAAGATACGCGAGCACAAGCAGACAAAGATTGAACATGATTAAGATTATAAAATGAAGCCTTATGCTTCACTGTGAGCCATGGCGTTGATAAACATGCATTACCAATTTAGGGGGGAAAACCCTTCCATTTTAAATAAAAGTAGATTACGTTCCCCAATTTTCTTATGCCAAATCACTCATATGCATAACCACTATTTCATTCCATTGCTGCTACAGAGTATAGTTACACTGAAATTATAGCCTCTTGGGTATCTTTCAAAGAGGAAAAATGAGTATTTAACTCACCAATAAAACTGTAAAGCTCTAACAAGTATTGATAAACAGTTACTGCAGACAATCTTCCCTTTCTACCTGAAACAGTTGTTCTGTGAGTGTTCAGTACTTACCGACAACGCTAAGCACAGCACTGGCAGAAACGTTGTCCAGAGTTGTGTTGGCCACACACGTGTAGGTCCCACCATCATCGTCACTTACATCAGCTACCACCAAATGGTCCTTGTCAATAGTGAACCTGTGAATAAAACACATTCTGAGCAACTGAAATGGACATCAAACCACATTTGATGATTGTTTTACTGGCATGAAATTGTGAATTTGGTCAAGGAGAAGGATGATGAAAATTTGCATCACATTTAAGTTAAAATCTTACACAATATGTATCACTTTGATAATGATTATCGTTGGAAAACAATTAGAATGGGTTGTAACCTTGGGTTATGAGGGCTCTGGAGGCATATGGTCTGATGGCCCTCAACCACGTCCCTGGAGTTTTAGGAGCTCCTCAGAGACCAGTGACATCCAGAGGTGAGATGGGGCAGCTTCAGTTACCTTACTAGAGGGTTTCCTACGGCTTCTGCTGCTAAGAAACCTTTCAACACTATTCAACCAGCTCAATTTCTAGCAAAGTGTATATTTTATTTATTATTAATTTTTATCCTCACCTAAGGATATGTTTCTATTGATTTTAGAGAGGAGGAGGTGGAGGAGAAGGAGGAGGAGGTGGAGGTGGAGGAGGAGGAGGAGGTGGAGGTGGAGGAGAAGGAGGAGGAGGAGGAGGAGGAGGAGGAGGAGGAGGAGGAGGAGGAGGAAGAGGAGGAGGAGAGATGTCGGTTGCCTTCAGTTTAAGTTGGCTAAAGGCCTGCCTGGGGATAGAACCCTCAACCTACGTATGTGACCTGACTGGGAATGAACCTGCAAACTTTTGGTGTATGGAATGAAGCTTCAACCAACTGAGCCACCCAGCCAGGGCACAAAGTGTACATTTTAAAATAATCTAGAATTTACTGCAGAAATTTTATGTCACTTTTACTACATGCATAAACTCTCGTAGGAGAGAGTAAATGCAAAAAATAGGACCAGCTTTATCACTAGAAGCAGGAAGATTTAGATCAGCAAACACCACGAAGAGTTTTTCTAGAGGTTCTTGTGGGCATGAAAAATTACTCAGTAGGTAAAAAATCCATATAAATAGGTTTCATGCAGATTAAAAAAAAAAATCTCACCCAAGGATATGTTTATTGATTTGAGAGGGAGAGGAAAGGAGAGAGAGAGAAAAATATCAATGTGAGAGATACATCGATTGGTTGCCTCTCACATTCCCAGACTGGGGATCAAACCACAACCTCGGCTTGTGCCTTGACCTGGAATTGAACCTGCCAGCTTTCCGTAAGGGATGGCACTCCAATCAACTGGGCCACAAAGGGCAGGGCAGGATTCATGCAAGGTTGTATAAATCAATTGTCTTTGCAGGGAATTTCCAAGTTAAAGCTTTAGCCAACTTAAACTGAAGGCCATTATTTCATGTATCACTCAGATTCCACAAACAAAACTGACCTGTTGGAGCACAGAACTAGATGGAAACTCTGGGCATATAGAAGAGAAGCCACATAGTTCTTCTAGGTGCTATTGACAACAACAGGGCACCTTGTAAGCAAACCTCAGAAACTATTTCCACCAGCACCCAGCATTCCTTCCAAGCGGGGTGGGGGAGGAGGGGAAGCTTATAGCTGCACTCCCATAGCTAAAATTCACACCTTCAGCTCCACACTTAGTCAAATTGAGGGCCTTACTTGGAAAATAGATACCACTCCCCACCCCGCCCCCCAATTCTAATCTAAAGGGCTGCAATATGCTTAGGCTCTTTTAAATGCCCCCCCACTCCTGACTTTAAGTAAACTCACAAGAAAACTCCCTACCCAAATAAACACTAGTGTCCTTTAAAACAGCAGTTGCCAACCTTTTGGACCTCACAGACCACCAGTGGTCCTCAGACCACCAGTTGGCGACCGCTGCTTTAAAATACAAGGGTTTGGCTCAGGGGTTAGATTGTCGACCCTCAGACTGAAAGGTCCCGGTTCCATTCCAGTCAAGGGCACATACTTGGGTCATAGGCTCGATCCTCCGCCCCAGGAAAGGGCACATGCGGGAGGCAACCAATCAATGTGTCTCTCTCACCTCACATGGATGTTTCTCTCTGTCTCCCTTCCCCTTTCCACTCTCCCTAAAAATCAATGGAAAAAATATCCTCAGGTGAGGATTAACAACAAGAACAAGAACAACAACAACAACAACAAAAATACAAGGTTTCAGGCACACTCTAGTGATTCAAGAGATCATACTTCTGCATATTTGTAGGATGCAAATGAGAACATCTGTTGAGATTTCACTGTACAAGGCAGAAAACAATGGACATTGTCCAAAGACTGGAAGGTTTTTCTCCTCCTGAATTTCACAGGAGACCAACATACAATGACAGACAAACATTCTCAGGGTCTTATTTCCATAACTTGACTGGGTACAGACATTTTATAGCAGGGAGAACATGTATGTCTACTCTGGACAAAGCAGACTTCAGAAACTTTTCAAACATCGTGGTTAAGTCATTACACAATAAACCTTTAGTTAACAGCAGCTTGAAGAGAGAAGAAGAGAAAGGAAAGTGATCATCTTCAAATACCTTCCATCACTGGGCAGCTCACCGTGGTCCTTCAGCCAGGTGACAGTAGGGATCAAGGTATGATCGTGTTTCACTTTGCATTCGAAGGACACTGTGCTCCCTCTTTGCACAACCGCATACTCAGGCTGTTTAATGATCCTCGTTGGATCTGAAATGTAAAGTTATTATTGTCTATTGCCCAAGCTGGAGAATTTGCTCAAAGTCATGTAATTCTTGGGGGGAAAATTTGCTACCTCTGCCTTACCTTTGATTTCTAAGTGAACTTCATTCTTTGCCATTCCTAACTTATTCTTTGCAACACATGTATACGTTCCTGTGCTGTCCTTTTGGGCTACAGGAATTTCCAAAGTTCCATTTTCATGAAAAACATAAGGGTCTTCATGAAGAGCACTACCTTTAGTTCCTTTGAACCTTCATGGAAATAATCACAACGAGAAGTAAAACACATCATAATGTAAAGTCACACATAAAAATGCCACGTTCAAAATCAACACATCATGATACGCATTATGGAATCAAGTTCAGAGATGTTTGAAATCTGCACAGCACATTGCATTCTTGCATGTCAGCAGGATCAATGTAAAGATAGGATGTAAAACTGGAGAATTCAATGATCAGTGGTGCTTGAAGAATTAGGGTGACAATACAAAATACTTAAATTGTAATTTTCAAAATGATAGAATTATAATTTTTTAATCACATTATTATACACTCTATCTCTAAATAAGTGATAAAATAGGCCCAGTGAACACTGCTCTTTTTGACATTCCCCCCCCTATTGTGAAGTACTGTAACTTCATTCTAAAGAGATTTTGATTTCAAAAGTATAAAGTTTGTACTTTTGAAAGTATGACTAGAAAAATATTCGGTGATTAAAAAAGATAAAGCAGCTTCCTGGCTCGTGTCAGACAGGGGAAGTAAGGGCGGATGAAAAGGTTAAATCAACTAGGACTGAGTGTTAACCTGCCCCCTTCACTAGGAAGTCATCTGCACAAGCATCCATGCCTCTGTGGTTGAAGTGCGGACATAGTGAGATTATCCTTTAATCCTACACCTGGCTTTCATTTCACATCAGCAGGAGGCGCTCATAGATGAGCAATAAATGAATGTTCCAGTTTTTTTTTCACTCATTTTTTTCTGAGCTGTTGCTTATGCTAGCCCTGTTTCTTCCAGCTCGTGCTACAGTAAGCAAGCTAGGAGGTGAGCAGACTTGTTTCAGGAGTGTTATAGGGAAGAGGAAGGTCTAGAGCAGGGAGTGAAGGGACACAGGAGAGCTTGGCTGGATCCAAGTCAGAAAATTCAGGTGGGGGAGGTAATAAAGGTAAACACTAGTAATAACAAATTCTGATTTTGAGCTTATAGAATTCTCTTCCCCACCCCAAATGATATTTGATTGTCAAGGAATGTCCCCCAACCAAGGCTTCTAGTCACCATGCGTGAAGTCCCAGGTAATGTCCATGGCACTGTAAAATGCAACAACCTTAAATTTTATATATAAAACAAAAACATTTACATATATCTCTGTGGTTGACAATGTGTGCTGTTAAGTAGATTATACACGTGAAAGCATTTAGCACAGAGCAAGTAGTTAATAAACATGTGTGCATATTTTAAAAATAATATATGGATTCTGTACAGCTTTTCTCTGACTAAAACCCAACATATTGAGAAAGTGGAAACATTGAAAAGAAATAGGGCCAATACTTACCACTCAATGGAAGGCAGAGGAGACCCAAAGAAGGCACAGTCTAGTAGAGCGGGCCTGTTTGCGATGACCTGATAGAGTGTGTTTGTAGATGTAAGGATGCGTGGGGGCTCAGCTAGAAACGTTTAGAAAAGGTAAAGTAAATATAAAATAAACATTTAGACCCACCTCTATTTCATTGCATTTTGGTTTAAGGCCATTAGAGTTTATGGAAAAGCACAACCAATCTACCTCTGTCCATATGTTCTCTACCAGCCATGACACTACCAGCCACTCAAGGAGGAAAAGTAAGTCTTCTCCCTCTGCCTCATCAGGCATAGAATTTTAATAATTGATTTACTTATCTATTTATTTATCTTCTACTACACTGTGAGTCCCCTGAAGGTAGGGAATGTGTTAGTTTTCCCTAGGAACTAGCACAGTGTCTGTCACGGAAATCATGACTAAGTACATTTTTGTTGAGTGGCCCATCATAACCCCCGAGTTATAGTGGGAGTGGGTGGGTGGGAGCAGAGCCGGCAGAAAAGAGCACAGTGCTGATGATTCAAAAACAGAACCAGAGATCAGAGCTGCTTCCTAAACATCCACCAACATCTCAGCTGCTCAGTTCTTCCTTTGACTTACTGACCTCCACTTCAAGCACAACGGGAAAATGTCAAGTATTGGTTGGCTTCCTAACTTTAATTTTGTGTGAAAGGGAGCTTGCCACACTTAAAGAATTGAGATATAATTCCCTGGCACCATGAAAACAATTCTCACGTAAAGTTTTAACAACTTTGGTATTTTGGTAGTTTTGTCCATTACAAGGAAAATAATGTTCACATAAACCAACCTCTTCAGAATATGTTTGAATATGTCATAGTTTTTGAAATGCATTACTATGAATTAATAAATGCACACTTGTGACTTGGATAGAGGCCAACTGTTATGCTTAATGACTTATTTAAAAAAAAATCAGAACTGTTACTCAACTTGTCAGTTTCTAGAATGGAACAGCAGTAACATTCTGTTACTAAGGGCAATGCAATGCCATTTTCCTATTAAGGGGTATGATACTTGGTCTAACCATCTGTGACCAGAGCAGCCTGACTATTTGGTTATTTGTACAATGAAGACTATCCCATGATAAACACTGTGTTATGAAAGAACATTAAGAGTAGACTAATACCCTTTAGAGCAAGGTTTATATCTTATTCATCTTTATCCCTGTTAGCTCCAAGAACCAAGCATTGCATATAGGAGCTGCTCAATGCATTTTTGCTGAATGATTGGAAAACAACAGAAGTCCTTAATTTAATCTGCCATGGCATTAATAGAGGAAGAGCTTACCCAGCACATTTACAAATGCATTTCCCAGTAAATATCCATATTCATTAGAGGCATTGCACTGGTACACGGCACTGGATCGCTCTTGAACACTTGAAAACATAATGGTATCTCCATTTATTTTTCTGCTGGGGTCATCAGGGGCAACTGTTTGGGTGTAAAAATAAAAAAGTATACATTTATTCCCCTTTGCTGAGAAGATGTAAAGCTTGAGGTCTACATTTAAAAATCACATTAGTAAGCAGAACAAATACAGAATGTTCTAGGTATGTCCAGTATTAAGGACAAGACCAAGAACTGAAGCAGAAGCCACAATTTTCCTTCCTCAGAATTGAGTTAGCACTTAGCATGGGTGTATGCTGGATAGTCACTTAGTTTTAAGTGGATTGACTGAATATCATTTTAAGAGAGGCAGGAACAGAAAAGCACAAATTAGGTGAAAACTGTAATACAGATTTAGGAAAACATTTCCTTGTTCACAAAGACATCATCGTTAATTATTAAGAGGAGACAGCAAAAGTTAGACAAAAACAATATAGGAACCATCTAACTCATCCAAATCTGTCTTTTAAGAGCCTCTTTTTGAAATAACTAGATAAATAAATAAATAAGCAAATAAATATAGAACTAATACATAATCAAATGTGAAATCCTTCTTTTCCTGTTTTGGGAATTCCTGAGGCTGGCATAGAAATACATAGTGTAAAATTTCTTTGAAAGGTGGTATTTTCAGCTAAACCTCTCAAGTACTTACAAAAATGTTAAGGCCAGGATTGATCCTTACTGACATGGAATGGCACTGGCCGGGTAATGTAATATGGGAGAATTACTTCCAGGGCATGCCTAACAACTTGGAGGTGCTGCATTCCTGAGGCAAATCCCTTCCTGTGAATGCTAAAGCCGAGGTGGGGGCCTCCCATTGCTTTGAAAGGACACCAAAAGGGCTAACAGGCATCTGCCTCAGCACGCCAATCCAAAGCAAAACTGAGTCACAGCAGCCTTTCTTTCAACTGCTCTTGCAACGTGAGCCACTGAAGTAGACTTTGCTTTCATTCTTCACACCATTTTCCCCTTTGATGGCAGGAAATGGAATGTGCATCTAAGACATGATTATCACTGTATTCAGACTCCTTTATGTCTTTAAAATTTCAAATACTGGGTTCATTTGTGATCAACTCACTTTAATAGAAGCCAAAATATAGTTATTAATCTTTGTATTATCACACACATTCAATGTGTCAATTAGTTTTCTACGGCTGCTATTACAAATTATTACAAATGTAGTGGCTTAAACCACACAAATTTATAATCATACAGATTTATATGTAGATGTTAAACACTCAGATCACAATCAATAGATAATTTATGAAATTATCTTAAACTAGAGGCCCAGTCCATGAAAATTCATGCATTGAAGGTGGGGGGGGGGTCCCTCAGCCCGGCCTGCCCCCTCTCACAGCCCGGGAGCCCTCATAGGCAGGAGGCAACCTGGTCATCTGGGGAAAGTGACACCCCACCACACCTCTGCTGCTGCCACTGCCGGCAATGCAAGCCTCGGCTGGCCCTGGTTACCTGAGTCTCAGGCAGCCCTGGGTGGCTGGGCAGCCAACATCCAAGGCTTGCCTGTGCCTCGGGTCGGTCCTGGGTGGCTGGGGGGCTGAGTGGACTGGGGGACTCCAGAGGCAGGCACTCGTAGTGGCCAGGCCTGCCTGGGGGTGGACCTGGTCTTGCCATGCCTGCCACCCCAATGGGCTGAGAAGAGTGGGTGTCTCCATCTTGTGGCTGTGAGTGCTGCCACCTTTGAAGGGGTGGCAGCCAATTAGCATATTCCCTCCTTATTGGCTATGGGCACTGCCATCTTTGCGATGGCATGAGTATCAATTAACATATTCCCTCTTTATTAGATGGGATACTCCAGTTAGTTCAACTAGTGATCAGGTCCAACTAGTGAGTCAGCTTCTTAGCTCATATCTGCTGTTTATGAGTCTGATATTTTAAAAATCGCCTTAGAAAACACATTCTTTTTTTTTTGTCTTCTATGATATAAACAAATATGTTTATTTGCTTATATCATAGAAGACAATAACAAGTTCCAACTCCTTTAACAGGGTACAAGTTTCACCAATAAACGACAGGAGAGAACAGAAATGTCACAGTGACGTAGGAAGTGAACTACAGCTGTGACCAGGCATCCAGGTGTCCTGAGAACGCAATACACCTCAGGGCAGCCGTGTTCCTTGTTCCAGATCAAGTCTAGTATCATCAGGATCTTTCCGACTCACACGCCCTCAGTGATGGCCATCCACTGCCTCAGCAAGGCGTGCTGGAGCAGAGCTGAGTAACAAATCTGGATCCAGCACTTGGGCACTCACTGTGGGGATTCCTCAGGGGACTCTCGGTGTCCCTACATGTCCATTTGGACTGTACCTCTAAGGACATGCCATTCAGTGGAGGGCTGGAGGTGAGTGACAGGCAGTGACAGTGATGAGGCTGGCGGAGACTCTGGGCCTTATCCATCTGGATGGATGGCAGACTAAGTGAGAAGAGCTCCTCGAATTCCTAGAGTATGTTGTGCTTTTAGACATCACACCACCCTGTGAAGTTTAATGGTATAGAGTTCCAGTTTTGCAAGTTCTGGACTCTCTTTCACAATAATGTGAATATATGTCACACGACTGGACTGTACACTTAAAAATGGTTAAGATGGTAAATTTTATATCATGTGTTTTTTTTTAACCACAATAAAAAAGGTTGCAGCACCATGAACATGGAAAACCGGCTCAATGAACACAGCCAGCAGGACAGTCTTCCTTCAGTGGGACTCATTAGTCACATAAAAAAAAAAAAAAAACTGTTTTAAAAAGGTTTGATGCCGCCCAGTTGCACCTTTTGATGTTATTCTTTACACGAAAGGTATCCAACTGGCCGTGCCTTAGTTCTGCTAAGTGGAGCAGTCTTTGAATATTTTTGGCAAGGTATTCAGGAATAAAATAAACCCTTTTGGTAAGAGTAGTGAACGAGCAGGTCTCACTCCATGGGGCTTGGTCTACATTTTCCTTAAGCACTTACTAATGAAACCAAACAGACCCAGGAGCTGTCCTGTCCGTCCGTGGCTCAGCTGGTATTTGGACAAAGAATGAAACTGTCCAGAGATATTTGAATGAAGCCTTTGGACTCTGTACTTGGCTACGGGGTGGGAAAAGCTCTCCAGTGCAAAGCTAAGTTATCGAAAGGAATAATAATTGATTCTAGAAATAACTAATTTCATTTGCTAATAATGAACACTGGAGGAAGACATGTAAGAGCCTAGAATCACTGCGTGTCATTTAAATCCCCAAAGGTAAGGCTCCGAACGGGGGTGATGGCCTTCCAATAATACTTTTATCTAACCCTCCTGACATGACTGCCTGAACTATATACAAATGCTTCCGATCTTTAGATAATGAGGAGTATCACCTTCCATGTATAAGAGCATTATTCATTAAAAAAAATATTGTATGTCTATTGCATAATTTTATTTTAAAAAGAACTTTGTGAGCCAGATTAACAAGATATCACATGCACTCGAGACTGGAGCACTTCATGGTTTGTTTACCGTGAGGTCAATGCTCAGGTTTTCTGAGTTAGTCTGCTTCATAAACATCTCCAGAAATCTGAACATTTGGGAACAACGCAGACCAAGTCTCTAGAAGAGGTGAGTTTTCCTCTTCAATTACTTATTTCATTCACAAGAAGGATTTTTACTCTTGAGAAAAGGAAGAAGATTGGTGGAACCTTGGGAATATCCTGGTCCCTTCCTCCATTCCCTGGGCTGCTTATCATATCCTACTGGTCCCCAATCTCCCCCAGTGAAGTCAGTAATATATGTAATTGTGGAAGGAGGTCTATGCGCTCCCTCCCCCTCTCTCTCTCTCTCTCTCTCTCTCTCTCTCTCTCTCTCTCTCTCTCTCTCTCTCTCTCTCTCTCTCTCTCCCTCTCTCTTCTTTCCCTGCCCTCCTCATGTTTTACAGAAAAGAAACCTCGTGACATAATGGTGGAGTGATGTTATATATGCTCCATGCGGAAGAATCTGAGATCGACCACAACTCACATGGAACACGGTTACAGATCTACAAGTGTTAGGCTCTCCTGCTGCCTCTTAGGACAGGGAGAGGAACTTTGGTGCCCACGACCTTGGCCTTGGACATTTTCTTTCTGGTCCTTCCACACCTTCCCAGACATTGCAGGTCACATGATAAAAATTAAAGCTCTCTGCAGCTGTGTTCTTCCTCCTGACCTCTGTAGGTTGTTTAAAGAATATTTTAGATGATTTTGGGAAAATATCATATTTCATGCAGTCTATTTTTTTTTGCTACAAGAAAAGTTTAAAGTAACATGGCCAGTTTGGGGGGGGGGCGGGGGGCAGAGCCTTAGAAGACATTGAGATTTGATCCCAGACAGTTTTTGAGTTAATTCTCCCAGTTTTGTAAAATAGGTCTCAGGTCTGAAATGCACAGTCACAAATCAATTAATACTATTTTGCTAGCAAAACCCCCCTCTCTCCCTGATCCTGCTTCTCCTTCACAGTACTAATGTGCACTTGGGCCTGCAGAGGTAAGAGGAGTGTCAATGTCCTTGGTGACTGCCTACAAGCCAGGTATGGGGAGGCTGTGTACTTGGAGTATGCTCCCCTGATAGTGCCTCTGCTGTGTGGCACCTGGTGGGACTCCAGGCACCTGGCAGAGATGTTGAGCAGCTCCCCGCATGATAATGCTGCAGAGGCGCAGCTGTCCCCTGCCCCTCACCTGCGGCAGCTGGTCTACCCAAGGTTTCTGCAGCCTCTTTGGTGAAAGGCATGGTCAGCAAATCAGCTTGTGCTGCCAGCAAACTTGTGAGGCCCAGTCTAGTCCCCTTGAAGTGTAGAAATGCCTACCACACCTATTGTGAGCCACTGTAGACTGCAGAAACTTTGCTCTCTTGCCTACCCCTGACTCTCTGCCAACCTTTCCCCAGGACTTATCACTGCTGGATGCAGCAGTGGGGGGCGCACCATTCAGCAAACTGCAGAGGAGAAACAAGTCCCAGGCCCCTATTTCCAGAATAGTCCCAAACCTCAAAGGCAACACTGCTTAGGGGCCTCTAAATTCAGAAGGCAGCCAGTAGAGTGGAGAAGCACAAAGATCCTTGAAATTCCATGAATTTTTGACAGTCCCCCCCCCCCTCCCCCCATTTACTCCTTGTATTGTATCAGGGTTAGGTCAACACAAGGTGGGGCATGTAGGTTGACTTTGAACTCAGTAGCTGGTCCAGATGCTGAGGATGGGAACAGAGAAGAGCAGTGAGCCTGCAGTATCATCCTGCAGAGAGCTAGGAGGGTCCCCACCCAGTGACTCAGCTCTTTGCCTTTTAGTTATATGAGATTCCCAAAAGCAATCCTTACACGTTTAGTTTGGCCACCAACTGTGGAGAGAGACACCTGGTAGGGATGCTTCCTATCACTGTGGTGTAAACATAGGGCACCTGCTCCTGGCACCGTGGGACAGCCTGGAGGGCAGGATCCTTGTCTGCTGCCATGCCATGGCGTTTCCCTCCTTGCTTGTCCACCAGAGTGACTGCTCTGAGGCAGAGATCAGGAACCCTGGGTCTGTAGGCTTTGTGGAATTCTGATCCCACCTTCACTCAACCGCCTGTTTTCCTTCCAGTGGGGACTTACATACTTTTGAGATGGAAGAAATGAACTCATATGGAACCTGACTTGACGGATTTTTGTCTTCTTTCTCCTCCGGACCTAGTCAGATAACTTGGGGTTAGAGTAGAAGGCCCGACCTTATCTCCTGGGACTACTCTGCTTTGAGCCAACCTCCCAACCCAAAGCAGGCCTTCCACCGCTGATCCCTCCCAAAAACATTTTACTTAAAGAGGAATGTCTATGAGTGTATTTAAGCTCTTAATACAACTAGGGTTACAAGTTTCCTGAGAGACACTGCCTGTCCTGGGTTGAAATGACAATAAGTTGAGCGAATCAGGAAGAAAGATCCGCTTCATAATTTAATCTCCCCTCTTCTTTTGTCACTGATCTACCTCCATCTCAATGTCCCCCGTTTCCTGTCGCATTCCGGCTGCCAAGCAGCACTCCCTGGCTCCCTGAGGCTGGGTTTAAACAGAAATGAATTTTCTCTTTGGGTCTAAGGGAAGGTCTGAACTCCAAGAAGAGGAAATGTTCCCAGATGCTCCGGTGGGTGGCAGTGGTGGTGGCTGGGGCTGAGAAATGGGAGCCTCGGTGGGCTCTCTGTGGATGCCGTGGCTCAGGTGGGGGGCGAGAGATGCAATATTTGTTTTCAGTTTTCTTTTCCTTTGCTACAATCCCCTTCTATCCTGAAGCCTTTACCAAAGTTTTGTAAAACTGGTGTTTGCTATGATTTAGGAAATTAATGGAAGGGCCTGTGGCCACACTTGAGGGTCTGTTCAAGGCAGCAGAATGGCAGCCTGGACCAGTTGGCTGACAGAAACTTCAGGAGTGGACCAGGGAATGCACCAGGAGTGGTGACAGCTGCAGCCAGGACTGTGAGAACTGCTCAAGAATGATCTCCTTGATCCCTGGGAAGGGAAACTGGTCAAGACTGAGTGTCCTGCGTTGGCCAGGGCGAGAGGTGTGTTCTCTGGCTGTTTAGTGGAATAGGGGCATCTGAAGCCTTGAGAATTTGGGAACTATATTTATTCTGGGCTATATTTAGGAATAAAAACTCATTCAGTTAAGACAGCTATGTTTCTTATTCTTCTAGCCACTGGCTCTATTCCCAAGCCTCCCCATCCACCTCCTCTGACTCTTATGATGTTTCTGTAAACCACTTCACATTCTGAACAAAGACTATAATCCGAGCTTCTCAGTGATGTTTGTTTCTGACCTTGCCCTTCTTCCTTTGATGCGTATAAAAACAACAACAATAAAGAAAATATCTCCAAGTCCCAATCAACACATGCTGTCATAGTACAAATATTCCATCATAATAAATATCTAAAGGTGGTAAATTAAAAATATAAAGGTAATTTGGTATCTGTTTGCCTTATACATGACTACCTTCCTTAACCCAAATTATTTTATCAATACTTGTTCCCTGTTGAGATGTACCTATGTCCTAAAAATACACCACCACTGAAGCCAGTCAAGGAAACTTACTTTCTATTGGGACTCCATTCGATAACCAGCTAATTTTGGGTTTGGGGTTGCCGTTAGCTCTGCAGTTCAGGGCCCCGTCCTCTCCTGGGGACAGCACAAGATTTTGAGGTGCCATGATCCAGTATGGAGCCGCTTGATTGAGAAAACAAAACAAAACAAAAACACATACAAAAATTTGAGTCAAATAAGTATCTTGGAAAATTTAGTATAATGAACTATTTTAATAAAAAACATTTTTGCAACACATGTTTTATTTTTCAGAGTGAATAGATTTATAAGTGATGCTTCAAATAATACTTCAGATTTTCCAAAGAATGTTTAAAGAGACTCACTTGATATCTATGTATTATTTCTAAGCCTTTTTGATATAATCTGTTTTACAGTAATTAATCATACATCAAACAGGCCACAGATTTATCCAAGGGTGTAGAGCAATTTACTGGTACAGTTAGGACTGAAAACATGAATTTAAATTCTGAGTCTCACAGGATATATGTCATTATAAAATTAGGAAGCAATTTTTAAAACTTTGCAATTTTGAAAAGTTGCAAAGTTAATATACACTGAGTGGTCAGATTATTATGACCTCTGAATGCATAATAATCTGGCAACTCAGTGTATTTGTATCTCAAATGGGTACCAAAAGTATTCTAGACTTTTGCTGGAGATCAACCACCTATTTGCCCCGAGCTTTCTATCAGCCAGTGCAAAGGGGAAAACTGATCAGGTGGACGATTTATAGTATCTTTGATATCAAATAAAGGAGGTACTCAAGAGAAGTACACTAGGTGGCCAGATTATTATGCGTTCAGAGATCATAATAATCTGTCCACTCAGTGTATAGTATTCCCACAATATCTCTGATGTTAATATCTTATATAACCATGGTACAGTTATCAAAACAAGAAATTAACATTGGTACAGCGCCATTAACTCAACAACGCACTTTATTAGAACTTCCCCAGTTTTTCCATGGTCTTATTTCTGTCCCAGGACCCTGGACACCACATTGCATTTACTTGTCATATTTCCTGAGTTTCCTCCAATCTGAGAATTTCTTTGGGTTTTGTGTCTTTCATGACCTTTAGACTTTTGAAGAACACTGCTCAGTTATTTTGTAGAATGCCTTTGGACTTGGATTTGTCAGCTTTCTCATGATTAGACTGAATTTTTGGGTGATGGATCTTCTGATTACAACATATCAACATATTACTGATTGCATTAATCTTGATCTCCTGGTTAAGGTGATGTTTGCCAGGTCTCTCCACTGCAGTTAGCATTGTCCTGCTTTCCATACTCTATTTACATAGTGAGGCACTAAATTCAGCCCACATTCAAGGAGAGGGACTAGAAGGTCCATCTCCTAAGGGAGGAGTATAAAGAATATAAAGACATCTATCTAAACTGCCTCAGTAAATTATTTTCTTTTGGGGCGGGATAAACACAGGTACTTTGAGGCTATGCAAATTTCCTTTCTCCTTAAGGTTTCATCCACTAATTTTAGCATTCGACACTGGCTCTTGCCTGCAGCAATTATAACGGGGATTTTAATGGCGATTTTCCATTTCCTTCATTCTTTCTACATTTATAATTGGGATTCTTTTGTAAGGAAGATTTGAGGAAGCTATTTTAAATCTTATTTAAATGTTCTTTAAGTGTAAATAGCGATGAGAAGAGAGTCACAGTATCATGGATGTTGATCTAAATTTATATTTATTATTATTGAAGAATATAATGGGAGGCATGTGAATTGAAGATGGGGGGCCTCTCATGCATGTAAGAGCAATACATTTCAAACAATGGTATGTACCTTTTACTGTGACAGAGATGGTGTGATGGATGACCCCTAACGCATTTTTGGCGATACACTGGTACTTCCCCGAGTCTGCTTCTGAAACCTGGGTGATCTGCAGAGTTTTCTGAAAGTTCCTATAAAATGTCCGGTTGGTGGGTAGTGTTCCATCTTCTTTTATCCAGTAAATAATTGGTGTGGGCCTGATAAGATAAATAAAGGATGATGATACAAAAAAAAAAAAAAAAAAAAAAAAAAAAAGACCTAACTGCTTTTGAGGGTGAATTTTCATGCAAATTTAAAATAAGTGCTTTATATAAAGTTAATGAGAAATATACAGATACTTCAACTAGCATCACACTTTTATAAGTAATGCTCAGAGCCTTATGTTTAAGGCTATCAGCTACCATTTTCACATAAGCAGAACTATGCTACTTTGTGGCACACCATAAACATTGACTGAATGGTGTGGTGAATATGCCAGCATGAGTTACTTTATGGATGGGACCTAAATGTTTTCTTCTAAGTTCGCATCAATGAGGCACTCTTGGAAAATTTTACATGAAGGTACTATGCCAATCAAAAAAATTACCATGAAATTAATGATACTGAGTTAATTTTTTTTTTTTTTTTTTTTTTTTATCAGCTAGAGTTCAGGATGCATAGAAAAAGAGATGATACATAGCTGTGCCCAGGAATTTTTTTTACACACATTTCCACATCAAATGAAAGAGTGTTTTTATTTCAAACCAGACCATCTGGTAATGTAAGTGAAGTAATTAGAGAGATTGTGCTCTTTCCTTAATTTCATTATTATTTATTAGAGGCCCGGTGCACGAATTCGTGCATAGGTGGGCTCCCTTGGCTTGGCTGGAGATCAGGACTGATTGGGTCTTTCTCTCCCAGTCCTGATTGGTGCCGGCCAGCTGCAGGGAGGGACCACAAGAGGTTGGCCAGTGGGCTAGCGGGCCTGGGGGGAGGGACCATGGGAGGTTGGCTGGCCATGGGAGATTGGCTGTGGGAGTGCACTGACCACCAGGGGGCAGCTCCTGCATTTAGTGTCTACCCCCTGGTGGTCAGTGCATGTCATAACTACTGCTCAATTGTCCAGTCATCTGTTAGTAATGGTCACTTAGGTTTTTATATATATTATACCAATTGAGAAGAAGAGATTAAACTCATGCATTACACCATTTCTTACAGTATTTCTTATTCAATTATGAAATATAGAGACCAATGAAAAGCCAGAACACAGGCTTAGAGTTAAAGACCTGTTTTTCAATTCCCAGCCCTGTCCCTAAATTGTTCCCTGACCTTGGCTCCATGACCTCTTTGGGCTTCAGTGTCCTTAGTTGCCTTACTGTGAATAATAATGCCTGACTTGATCAAGTGGCTTTAGAAGGTTTACATGAGGGTAAAATAAAAATCCACTGGACACTAACATTTGTAGGCATGGAACTAGAGACCAAGCACTGAGTTGTGTGTTGGGAAGATAAAGATGAAGAAAGAATGAATCAGGCCCTCAGGAAGATCACAATATTTGTCATTAGAAATTCAAGGTGGGATTAATTATTTTAAAAATTGATTTTGGTTTCTTTGGTTGAACAAAAATAATTGAACACATATATTTGATGAAATGGCTTCTAAAATAAGACATGATGTGAATATAAAGAAAGGCAAAAATGTGAAATCATTTTGGAAAGCTGAAGCTACCATACACTATGGTGTTTCCTTGCAGTCGGATTAATCTGCAGCTCCTATATCTGAAGGTGAGAGGGCAGTGGGGGTAGAAGCATGAGATCACAGCTTAGCTAGGTCGTGAACTCCTCTGGAGCCTGCTACTCCACTGAGCAGGTGTTAGGAATTAGAAATATTTTTATTCTATGAGTCTCGTGTTTATGGATTTATAAACGATAAAGCTCCAAGCTTAGTTTTGCAACACCCCAAGCTTTAAAATAAATTTTGGAAGTTTGAGGAAATTTCCAAATACCAGCCATATTTTACATTTTTTATGTAATATATCACTTGTGGGGAGGGGAATCACTAATTTGTGAGAACGAGGACATCTTCTCCCAAAAGGTTGAAGGTTGGTAGATAAAACCACTTTTTAACACAATGTTGAAGAAAATTGAAAGGGTTTTTTGTTTGTTTGTTTGTTTGCTTGCTTGCTTCTTATTCTATTGGGAAATATATATATATTTAATATATTTTAAATGAGGGCTTTGCTAGGTGCTTGAGACACTGAGTAGTATGTAGTGTGCTTTCCTGCCACGGCCAGCAGAGGCCTCCATGTCTCTCCAGCCATAAAGTCATTCCTGAAGGCCCATTCGGGGAAGAAAGGTGAGACTCGTGAGTTACCAGTCAAGGGAAGCACAGATAAACATGTGATCACAACATGCTTCTGAGAATCTATTAAATGCTTTCAGCATAGGTGCCCATATCAATTGTACTTGCTCTATGCCATGTATCAGAAGGGACTAGGTAGAAGCTTGTCTCTAATGTGTAACTAATCTAACAGTTGTTCTTATATCTGAGTGAGGCCTTCCTGCAACTCCTGTCAAGGGCACACAGGGTCTAGGGGTGACATCAATTATGATTAGATATTTGCAAAGAAGCTGGGCTTGTGACTTTACAGTAGGAAACAGTGCAAGGAACAGTGTGCCAATTTCGAGGCGAGGCCCTAAAAGGCTGGGCGTGCTTTTATTGTTAGAAGAATTAGCCTGGGCTGAGCCAATAGAGCAGTGGTTCTCAACCTTTTTAATGGCATGACCCTTTAATACAGTTCCTCATGTTGTGACCCTCAACCATAAAATTAGGCTCTACAGCAGCGGTTCTCCCTGTAGGTTGCAACCCCTAGTTTGAGAACCACTAGCACGGTCGCCTAAGACCATCGGAAAACACAGATATTTACGATTCATAACAGTAGCAAAATTACAGTTATGAAGTAGCAAGGAAAATAATTTTATGGTTGGGGGTCACCACAACATGAGGAACTGTATTAAAGTGTCATGGCATTAAAAGGCTTGAGAACCACTGTGCTAGAAGGATGTGAGAAATTCAAGGCCAAGAGCTCAGCTGTGCAGCTGACAGCCAGCACTACACCCTCAGAACTGTGAACCCATAGCTGAGCCACCTAGCAGACACATGCGCGAGCTTAACCTAAATTAGCTGGATTAGCACACGCTAGTACAACCTCCTTGCATACCTGCAGAAAAATTATTGATGATAAATAGCTACTGTTTTTAAACCACAATGTTTTGAGGTGGTTATACACAGTGGCAAAATAATGCACCCTAATTATAATTGTAGCAATCATAAGGTGATTACTGATACTTATTTCATGAGGAACACTATTATATTAAAAATCTCTCTATGTAACGCTCAATGCACAGGCATGGAAACATGGAACAGACTGATGAATCTCAGAAGGAAAGAAGAAGAGGTGAGGCAGGAAGAGATTAACCAAAGATCTTATATGCATACTAGAGGCCTAGTGCGATTTGTGCTCTGGTGGGATCCCTCAGCCCAGCCTGCGAGGATTGGGCCGAATCTGGCAATCTGGCATCTCCTGAGGGATCCCAGATTGTGAGAGGGTGCAGACCAGGCTGAGGCACCCACTGGTGCATGAATCCGTGCACCAGGCCTCTAGTGTTTTAATAATATGGTATTATATAACCTATTTTGGAAATAATTATCAGCTATTTCTTGATGCCTGATGGAATAATACAAGACAATGATTCTTCCTATGATATTAATACTTCTCTACCAATCTATTCTGTTTTTATAAGAAATGTACACCAAGACACAAAGTATTAACTCACAGTCCTTCTGCAATACATTCTAACGAAAGAACATTTCCTCTTAATTCCTCTTTGTTACTTGCATTGCCTTCTGGAGTTAAAAATGTTGGTGGCCTCTCTCTACTTGATTTAGCTGTAAACGAGAAAATCAGTATGTATTAAACGTTATGAATATGTATTTCTAGAAACACAGTTCACTGCCTAAAAATCTAATCCCTTTTCAAAACTATTTAACATTGTAAAATTTGTTAAACTTCACATGCACACTCCTTGCCTTACAAATAGCTGTTGCTCACTTAGCAACCCAGGAATAGAAACAATTCTGGTTGCATAAACACTAATGGTAAGAACTATTCTCGTTTCATATATTTTCTTAATTTGTAAAATTTTTGTGAATCTTTTGTGTACAGGTAAATTTTCACAATGTAGACATAGAAAGAAAAATCATGTTCTCGAACTATACATCACATAAAATTAGTGCTCAAAGCAAAATTAACTGTCTACCGTATTTTTCGGACCATAAGATGCACCGGACCATAAGACGCACCAGTTTTTAGAGAAGGGAAATGAAGAAAAAAAGATTCTGAAACAAATAGTGTCCTAAAATATTTTATGTGCATTAAAACCCAACATCACAGTCATAAACACATGTAATCAACCCTGTAAAGTAAACAGCAGCATTTAGAACCATTTTAGAGCCGGGCAAGCACACAGAGACCACACAGAGCCGGGCAAGTAAAAAAACTTTTTTTTTTAAAAGTATATGTGTAGGCTATATTTGGACCATAAGACTCAGGGACTTTTTCCCCCCACTTCTGGGGGGAAAAAAGTGCGTCTTATGGTCCGAAAAATACGGTACTTTCTAGAAGATGTTAGATTTTCCTGAGGGTATGACTATGGATGGGCTATTCTGGTTTCCACCAGGGACAACACTGTACTCAATTCCATTGATTAATCATGGAGATAAATTTGTGGTAGATGTCTAATATGTCAAGGTCCTTAAATTGCAAGGTTTATGGAAAACAAAATTAGAAAGTCACTAACAGAGTCTGGCAAATTTTGCTACCAAGTAAGAATATAATAATGGAGTTAAAGAAATTGAAATTGGTTTCCTCAATGAAAATATAAAGAGGGCTCAAATCAGAGATCTCTGGGAGATTTATACAGGCCACCTTCTTTCTTATGGGGATCTTGCCTAAATGTGGTTTTATATTCTGGTGAACTCTCAGAAAAACTTAAAGTAGAAAGCAAACCATATTCTGATTCTGTAGCCCTTTACAGTTTTCAAAATTTTAATGCATTAATTATTTGATGATCACAAAAAACTGAATATGATAAAATTAAAGTTTTTTTTTTTTTTTTTTTTTTTTTTTTTTTTTTTTAAGATTTTCAACTTAGAGGCAATCTTACTCCTCTGAAATCACTTTGGGAATGGTTTTGAGGCCTTTGTCTTTCAGCAGTATATTACAACAAAAATAAAATAAAACAGGAGTTGTGGTGTGTCTATTCTGGTGACTGATAGAACCTTAATGTTTTTTACTTCATACTCAAAGGTAAAAAAAAGAATGCAGCAGAGATTCTGCCTTCTAGATAATTAAGAAGATCCCATATTCCATAATTTTCAAAGATCAATTCCAGAATCCATAATTTTCAATGATCAATTCGGTGCCTGAGATCCACATTTCCCTTAAGGAAATCAAATTCTTTTATTTTCAAAAGAATGAAGATAAATGCTCTATTTTGTAAAAAAATTACTTCTACTGAAGATAATGACTGGGTTTTAAATAAAATTGAGAAATACGGTTGCTAATTATACAATATTCATAATGTCATGTGAAAACAGATGGGAAATGTGATGACTTGTTATCAAAATCCACTTACTGTTAGTTGCTAAAGGTTACTAAGATGTTGAAGAGTTAGTATTCAAGCAGGTTAATGCATCCTGCCAATTCTTATTTAGCTCATGAGAAAAATTTATGAACAAGACAAAAAATGAAAAATCTAATTCTGAACACACATGAACATTTTTTCCCAAATTATGTGAAATGGTTCTTTGCATGAAAACAGCTATAATAACTTTCATTATTATACATACAACATGGAAAATGTTTTAGTGGCATGTTTGCAAGCTTATAGCTAAATTTCACAAGAAACATACATTTACTCTAGTGGCAACTAGAAATTTCATAAAGAAATAGGGTTAAATAGCCATGGAGGTGAAGTTAGTGAACTAAATTCTACAATGAAGGAGAGATTATCGGTTACAATCACCATAACTCACCACCATAAACCTCAGTGTCACTCAAATTAGCTGCTATAGTGTCATTCAATTCATCCACTGAAATAAACAGAATATTACGAAGAATGTAAAAGAGTAGGGGAGAAGGTATTGCAAGAAAAAATACTGGGCAATGAAAGCAAACATACCCAGCTACACTGACCATGTGCCATCCTACTAACTAAAAACAGTGCTTTCCATCATACATGACTAACTCATTCATTTATTCAGTCACCCCAACCAGCATTACGTGAACATGTAACTGAAGCCGTAGGTTTGCCCATTAAAGATATCATGGGGCATAAATCACACGCAAATGTGTGTGGGAAAAAAAAGAAAAGAAAAGAACTTCAAGTGAATTCACCAAATTATCAGGAAAACAGTCACGTTAATTATAGCAAAAATTGTAAAGTACAGTATTTAGGGTCTGTATGCATGCTCTTTAGAACACATATGCCAACACTTTAGTCACTTTTCACAGGTAGTTTCCTCATCAATGAATCCCTTTACGTCAGTCAGTAGTTGTGAGCAGTTGGTATGTTTTTACAGTTCACTGAAAAACAGATGCAGGGAGCTAAACACTTACCTGAAATCACCTTCACAGAAATAGGCTGCTTCTGCTGTATGGTTTGAGTGTGGTTAAATCTGGCGTAACAGATATAGTCTTCGCGGGAATCCTCTGGGAGAACGTTGGAAAAATAAAGGTCTCCATTCAGACCCTGGGAAACCCTCTCACTTTGTGGAAGTCTTTGAAAGGCTGGGGAGAGGCAGAGAAATAGCCAGAGCATTCTATCATTAAAGAGACCACTTTCCAAATTAGCAAGACAAAGGTATCTACCCCTAGTTCTGTGTATTATTAAATCTCCAATTGTACCTGTGGACTCTAATTTCTCTGGAGTAGGACAGAGATGAAATTAGATTTGTACAGCAAAGTGTTTTATTAAGCAAGTGTAAACAACAACTAAAAAAGAGTTTGTGTGATCTTTCCTAATATTTTAGTTAACCTCTAAATATACACACATGCACACATGCCTTAGAATATGCATTAAGGAAACTTATAAGGATATTAAGCTGGGTTCCATCATCACAAATGGCCAGACATCAAATACTGGGAGAGCACCTACCGTGAACTAGGCCCTGTACAGGTGTCGGGCATAACAGGGACCATACCCTGTCTGAGCTTGTCTAACTGAAGAATCAGGCAGCAAAAGGGCAATTAACAATAAGGATGCAATAATGACACTATTTAATACTGCACACACACCCCTCAGCAGCCCGCCTCTCCCAGCTTTCCTCACCTCCTCTACTTTTTCTTTTCTGAGTTACTTAGCACCTTCTAACATACAACGTATTTCATGTGTCATGTCCATGACTGACTGCCTGTCTCCCTGGGCCAGAATTCATGTTCCAGGGCGACAGAGACTACTGCCTGCATGTCTGTCATGGTAGCACCGAAGCCGCACCTTGCCCTGCACAGCAGCTCCGTAATTAAATCGGCAGCTGTCAGCTTCAGGTTTCACCATTTACTCCTTCTCAGGTCCAGGTGAGGAACTGTCTAGCTTCAGGCATGAAGGGAAGCTTTCCTAACTTGATGAAGGATGCAGGGGACCGCTGATCCGTGTGTGAATTCACACTGGCCTGAAGCTTCTGACTCAGTCCACAGAGTCCAAACTGGGAGGATTCTTCAGCTTTGGAGTGAAAGAACTGGGGGGAAATTGCACACCCAGGCCCTGAGCCAGGCTGCATGGGACCAGAGTATTTCTCCAGTCCTAGCCACCGCTGTGTTCCTCCTGCAGCAGGTGCCCTCAATAACATTTCACAAAAGGTGAACTTGTGTTTCGAAGCCTGCAGCTCCCTTGCGCAGAAAACAGGACAGAGAAATGTGGAGCCAGAGCCAGAGACAGCACTGGTTAGCAGCATTAACAAAGATGCAAATTTGGCTGGTGATTGCAAATTCATGGTTTTGAGTCACTAATCCGTAGGGAAAGAATCGTTTTAAAAATAACTCACAAAAATAACGTACGGTTATTTAGTGAATACAGAGAGTCAAAGATTAAGCATGCATTTATTCTCTTCTGTTTCTCCTGCTGGATTTTATTACGGACACAATTCAGTAGATCAAATTAAAGTGCCCATTGAATTCCTTTGTGTTACTTTTTTTTTAAAAAAAAAATGTATGCAGATAGGAATAACTTGATAATGTCATCTTGCAAGAAGGATGCTCTACAGATCTGAATTTTTCTCATATTCCAGATGCAATTTTATTTGAAAGATCCAGATGATATGCCAACAGTCTAAAATGTATGTAGATGACATAGCAAGCAGTGTAATATGGGAAAAAATTGGTTATTTATTCAGATGATTCTGAAACTATACATGTACATGTGTCTTTATTAAGTGAAAAGGTCACTATTTCTGAATAAGAACCAAGGACCAAATACTAGCCTCCCTTGGCAGTGACATTTAGATGCTGTTATTTCAATGTCACACCAGACATTTACATTTGATTTATTGCCTATTCTTTCAAAACCAGTAAAAGCAATAATGGGGAAAATATGCTTGCTCATTTACTCATGTACATGTTTATTTCCCATTTTTCATGATACTTTCTCTGAGTGCTTTCAAGGAAGAGCCAAAATGGAAATTATATGTTAGAGCTAAATTTTACCTTTGGTAATATGTACAGCACGTGACTTCAGAAGAAATCATGTCACTGAGAACGAAATATATTCCCAACAAATATTTCACTTGCATTGCCACCATTACACCTAAAGGACTCTTGTCAAGGTCAATAGTAACCTCGATGTTGCCAAATTCAATAGTCATTTCTTAGTCAGATCAGAAGTTATATGGTTTCTCAGCAGCATTTGAAACCGTTGACTATTATGTCTTTTTTTTTTAATTACCTTTATTGTTGAAAGTATTATAGAAATCCCCCCACCTTGCCCCACTCCACCATGCTCCCGCCCCCTGCCGAGGACCTTCCTCACACTACTGTCTGTGTCCATGGGTTATGCATATAAATTCTCTAGTTAATCCGTCTTGTTCTGTCTTCTTAACACTCCTCCTTCACCACTCCCTCTTTGTTCTCATCTTACCACCGAGACAGTTCCTTCTCACCTATTTTGCTGGTTTCTCCCTAAATTCTTAATCCATAGAGCATGTGTGTCAAATACAAGGCCCGCGGGCCAAATCCGTCCCGCCAGGCCTTGCAATGTGGCCCGCACCGCGCTGTCATCACTGCACTCCGCTGCGTTTCCATCACAATGACAGTTTATGACTGTTCAGTAAACCATTCGGCCCGCGATTTAGGCTGGATTTTAGATTTTGGCCCCTTCTCTGATTGAGTTCGACACCCCTACTCTAGAGGGCTTCTGGTCTCAGTCCCCCATGAGCATTGCTCTTTATCACCTGCACTCCCTCTCTCCCGCCCTCCTCTTCTCCAGCCCCTGGCTCTAAGACACTCCTAAGGCAAGCACTGCTGACTAGAGCTCTGAATCTTTTTTTGACTCATGGAGCTCTGACTCATCATGTATCTCCCCATGGATGTCTCATGGGCCTCTCAAGTTTAAAGTCCTGATTTCCTGGTTTCCCAGCAGAACCACGTGGGTCCCACCTGTAAGGTAACACGCTAACCTATTGGTACAGGAGATTCTGGAGGGTGGAGAGAGAGAGCAATAAAAAAGTCCCTCTAGGGCAGACAAATGTTAAACTGCCTAATGGATTATCATCTCATGACTCTGTGCTTTGGTTTCTTCATCTAAAAAGTAGAAAGAATAACCAGATATACTTCATAGGATTGTTGTAAAAAAAATGATGCAATAACCCATGCAAAGTCCTTAGCAAAGGCACTTAATAAATATCAAATAAATATTAGCTGCTGTTGGGGGTTAAAAACACACACATAAAAAGTGTGGGGGGAAAAATCAAATAGCTTGATTTCCTCTCCTCTATGGGCTTCTGCTTTTTCGGGAAATTACATGATAATTCCATTTTTTACCAATTTTTCAGTCCTATAGTTATCTTTGATTCCTCTCCCTCAGACCTTTCATCCAAACCACAATAAATCCTAGAGGTTCTACCTCCAAAGTATATCCAGAATCTGACCATGTGTTACCCACTGGACTGCCACTGCCTGAGTCCGAGCCTCCAGCAAGGTTAGAGCAGCGGCCTCCAAACAAGGAGGCCTGCTCTCCCTTTGTCCTCGCTATTGTCCATGCGTGAACAGAAGTGACGTTATTGCTATTGGTTGCTTCAGGTAAAGTCACTCCCTCAATGACTCCTACTTCATTCCCAGCCAAGCCAAAGCCCTCTGCACGGAGCCCATGGGCTTTTCTGACCTTTCCTATCACTCTCCCCTTGAACTCCCTGAGTCTGGCCCCACAGGCCTCCCTGCTGCCTTTTACACACACCAGGGGGCTCCTGCCTTACGGGCTTGTGCCAGTTTTTCCCTTTCCAGCCAGATATTGAGGGGCTTGTCTTGCTCTCACTCCATTGATTCTCTGCTTACAACTCTGCTGATTTTCCTTCCTAGTACTGATTGCAAATTGACACCTACTTTCAACATGCATTATATTGTCTGCTTCTTTCTCCAGACCCATCTTTTCCTACTGCAGAGAATACAAGCTCCAGGAGAGTAGGAAATTGGTTTGATTTAGAGCAGTGCCTGGAACATAGTAGGTGCTCACCAAAATCAAATGAATGAATGAAATGAAATTTATTTCAATGAGCATTTATTTTCCTGGGCATCTCTAAAACATTTTATGAATCACAAGAGATAATTTATTTTGACAACAAATAATTATCAGACTCTCGAAGAAAGAAATTCATATTATTAAAACTTACAATTATCCATCCAGAATATTATAGCTGGTGGTAAACCGATTGGAGGTCTGCAGGGAAGTACCAAAGACTGGCCACTTCGAAGTGTTATTGGTTCAAGTTTTTCTTTGGTCCACAACGGTGACCCTATGATAGGAAATGACGACTTGTAAGTTGTTTCTGCATTGAAAAAGAGCACTAGAAAGACAAACTAAACTTTTGGGGAAATTGTAACTCAGCATTTGTATACATTAAGATAACAAGAAAATCAAATTTAAATACAGTGTTGAAAGTAAAAAGACAATTTTCAATCTCTGCCATTAATGGTACAAATTCTGAGTTAAGTGATTCCAAGCCTAAGAATTTATATTAAATAAATCATCCGGAAGATACCTAATAATTTCATTACAAGCCTGCTCTTCACAAAAGAATGGAAAAACACTTACACAGCCAAAGACTGTAAAACAAATAACTTAACTATACACTTATACCTTTTAATATCATACAGTATTATATATTATGTAAGCATACTTATTGGTAAAACTGGTGTGAGAATATACAGATAGTAGTTAAGTCAGGAAAGGTTATAAAATAGTACTTCAGAATGAGCTCATTTTAAACACATACAAACTTATCTAGAAAAAAAAGCAGTAATTATTTTCTTGAATGGAAGAATACATGAGTAACTTTTAAATTTATTTGTAATTAATTTTTTATATAATGAACATAACATACATTCTACATGTAATTTAAAAAAGCTTTTAAAATGACTAGAACTGCCAATGGTAATTTTTCTTGAAATCTATGCTCTTGAGCTGCGGAGAGGATTTGGGTACAGAACACTGCCAAAACAGCCACGTAACAGCAAGGCAGTGAGGCCCCTCTACTTCTACCTGAATTCTGAAACAAGAATGTTTTAAATAAACCACACTTAACGCCTCTTTACCTATTTCATACTGAATTTATTTACCTGGCTATAAGAAGTTTGTTCACACATAAAATACATAAGAAATCAATAATTTAGATCAATTCGGGGAAGAAACACTTTTCTTACCCCTGATGTTTTATTCTGGGTTTGTATAAAGGACATACTGGACTGACAAAGAATTCGGCTGAGGAACTCAGTGTAAAGTGGCAATAATTTTCATGCAAAACAAAGTCAGATTATTGGAATCAAGGCTGTTATCTACTTCTAATAGTATTTGGATGACATAACAGAGGCCGAACCTCAGAGCCATGCTTTACAAAGATCCACCAGTGGGTGGACAAGCCCCACTTACTGGATGGACGAACAACAATGTTATTGGAAATGGCAGCTCCACGTTCGTTCCTGGCTGTGCACTGATAGACGCCTTCGTAGGTCTCCGCCTTCCCTTCGCTCAGAATGTTAATGACGAGGGTTCCTGAGCCAGCCTTCATAGTGACGAGAGGGTCTTTATCGATGTCAAAATGAGTCCCATTTCGGGTCCAGGAGAAGCTGCCCAAGACATAAAAACCGGTTTACGTGCTCTTTAACAAATTCCTAGTAGTTTATATGTTTTCAGAAGTTAATTATTATATTTTGATATTCCGTAAAAGAGCAATAGGCTTCACACCTAAAACGTTTCATTGAATCATGACTTACAAAAGCGTGCTGGCCACATATTTTAAGGTACATGTTTTTATTAGGACTATCTGACTCGATAAAGAAAGCATGCACACAAATTGCCTGTCAGTTTTCAAAGAAATATAGAAAGGAGGCCTCGTAGGCACATTATCTTAGACTTGGCTCGCAGGCCATGGCACTGAATCTCCATCAGAGAAGCAGCATCCCACAGAGCCCCAGCTGTATTCTCTTGTCTATCTTCTTTAACCCTTCACCGCCCCTCCTCAGGCTCACTGAACATGCCCGTGCTGGACTCAGCACAAAATTGGAGTTACAACTAAAGTATAGAAAAATCACCCCCTGAATAACTAACTGAAGACTAGCTGGAGAAAAGTCTTATAACCAAGGACTTACAGAGGAGGACACATTAAGACTGGTAGGAGGTACAGAGGTACAAGAGGGATGGCAGGGCACTCAGAGGCAGCAGCTGAAGTTCTAGAAGGATATCTCAGCTGTAGGAGGGTTCCCCCTGAGAAGTGTGAGGTCTAAAGCCCAACCCAGACTCTCCAGGCAAGAGCGCCAGAACTCGGAAAGAAGCCTACATAATACCTGGCTGGGAAAAGCAGGATGTTTCTGTCCCCAGGGAGAGATGGCTAGAAATGCAGGCACCCTCTTAAAGGCCAATGCACAAAATTTCATTTGTAGTCACTCACCCTGGGATCAAGTGGAGGGAGGGCAGAGTGGACTAGAGCTGTGTGAGGAGAGTCTGGGGTTGGTGGCACTGGGAAGAGAGCTGAGAGGTCAGCCACCAGGATCCCTGTGCTGAGTCATTCCCCTATTACTGCAGAAGCCATCTTTCTCAGACAAAACATTCCCATCCATGCAGCATCAGCCTAGCGGGAAGCAATAGCTCCACCAATTGGAAGCACTCTCATACCACCCTGTGGAGCTTCTTACACCATACATAAGAATAAACTCAAAATGGATAAAAGACTTAAATGTTAGACTGGAAGCCATAAAAATTTTAGAAGAAAACATAGATAGTAAAAATCTCAAACATTCCTTATAGTGTTATTTTTTTCTTTATATATCTTTTCAGGCAAGGGAAACAAAATAAAAATAAATAAATAAATAAATGGGACTACATCAAACTAAAACATTTTTTTTTTTGTTACAGCAAAAGGAAACCATCAACAAAATTAAAAGACAATCCACTGAATGGGAGAACATATTTGCTGATATATCTGATAAGAAGTTAATATCCAAAATTTATAAAGAACTCATACAACTCAACACACACACACACACACACACACACACACACACACACACACAAATCCCAAACAATCCAATTAAAAAATGGGCAAAGAACCTGAATAGACACTTCTCCAAAGAGAACATACAGATAGCCAATAGACATATGAAAAGATGTTCAGTCATTGATCATCAGAGAGATGTAAATTAAAAAAAGACAGTGAGGTATCACCTCACACCCATCAGAATGGCTACCATCAACAAATCAACAAGTGACAAGTGTTGGTGAGGTAGAGAAAATTGAACCCTTGTGCACTGCTGGTGGGAATGCAGATTGGTACAGCCATTGTGGAAAGCAGTATAGAGTTAACTCAGAAAATAAAAAATGAAACTGCCTTTGACTTAGTAATTTGATTTCTTGGAATTTATCTAAAAAAAAAAAGAAAACAAACAACAACCCAAAACACTAATTCAAAAGAATATGTGCACTCCTATGCTCACTGCAATGCTATTTACAACAGCCAAGATTTGGAAGCAGCCCAAGTGTCCATCAGTAATGACTGGATAAAACAGCTTTTTACATTGACTCAATGGAATACTACTTGGCTGTAAAATGGAAGAAAAATTTATCCTTTGTGACAATATGGATTGACTTGGAAAACATGCTAAGTGAAATAAGCCAATTAGAGAAAGACAAATACCATATGATTTCACTCATGTGGAATTTAATGAATAAACTGAACTAACAAGCAAAATAGAAACAGACTCAGAGAGAGCAGGCAGACAGCTCTGGTGAGGGGAGGGTTCAGAGGTGGTAGTGAAGGAATTGAGCAAATAATAAAAAGAAAGAAAACTCTTGGACATAGACAACAGTGTGGTGATTGTGGCGGTGGGAGGTGGAATAAGGCATGGGGGGATAAATGGTGATGAAAAGATAAAATAAATAAAATAAATAAAAAAGAGGTTTTTAAAAAATTGCAAATCATGTATCTAATACAGGACTTGTATCTAGAATATAGAAATAACTCTCACAACTCAATAATTAGAAGACAAATAACTTGATTAATAAATGAACAAATTATTTAAATATATATTTTAGCAAGAAAAAATATAGAAGTATTTAATAAGCATTTGAAAAGGTGTTTCATGTCATTACTCATTAAAGAAATGCAAATTAACATCTTTTCACACTACTAGAATAGCTAAAATCAAGACAGACAAAAATAAGTGTTGGAAAGGATGGAGAGAAATAGGAAAGTTTATACATTGCTGATAGGGAAGTATTGATAGAATGGGAGAATCACTTTGAAAAATGGTTTGGTAGTTTCTTAAAAAGTTATACATATACTTATCATACAACCCAGCAATTCCACTCTGAAGTATCTACCTATGAGAAATAAAACAAATGCCTACACAAAGACTTGCACAGAATGTTCACTGCAGTATCATTCATAATAGCCAAACATTATGCCAACTGAAAGATGCCAAATGTACATAAGAGTACATGTTATATTCAATTTAGATGAAATCTGAGGCAGAAATTAGATTAGTGCCTGAGGCTCAGGGTAGCAGGGAGATTTACTGCAAAAGAGCATAAGGGAACTTTGGGGACAATGGAAAAGTTCTAAGACTGAGCGGTGATTGTTGCAAAACAGCCAATTGGTTAAAAATAAGCAAACACTTACAATGGGTAAATTTCATGGAATATAATTAAAGGATTTTTTTTGTTGTTAAAGAAAAAATTTAGAAATTTTCATTTTTTATTACTTAATATTCCACATTACATTTTCATAATAATAACCTAACTCTCCCAAGTTCCTACATATTACTGGACAAGTTAGTGATCATCCACTAATTAACCATCTATAAAATATCAGTTTCCCATCTATAAAATATATTCATTGGGCCAGATAATCTCTAGCATCTCTCCCAACTCTAAAACACCATGCAGTGCTCATTGCAAGATCCATTTGGAAAACCCTGAGTTACTGAACCCAACCAAATTATAATAGTAAACCTACTTACAGCTATTTTATAGACCTCTCTACAGATAGGAAGGATCCGAGAAATCATCAAATTCAAGTTCTTTATTTTACAAATAAGGATATGGAGGCCCAGAGAAGAGGGATTTGCCTATGTCATAAGGCCATTAGAGCCATTAGAATGCTCTTTCCACATCTTCCCAAAAATTTTGAGCAGCTTACAGAAGGGCATGAATACAGAAATGCTATCTGGGTTTCCAAAAAAAGAACAGACTGTAAGTAGAGAGACAAAACAGTGAACCTACAAATGATACCTGAAAGCTGTGCAGGACCTGAAATGAAGCTCAGAGTTAACATCAGTGCTTACTCTCAGTACTATGACAAAGCAAGAAGCACACCCACCTGGGAGGAGGTTTTCCTTTGGCCTCGCACTGGATCACAATGTTCTCTCGAGGGTCAATAATGTAATCTTTTGGAGACTGTTGAGTGATGGTTGGAGGTTGTACCACTTAATTGTAGAAAGAAGAACAATGTAAAGAAATAAGCCATTTAATATCATAACAGCCATCATTTTTTTCTATATCAAATCACTTACCCCAGACTAAATATGCTCCAAGTGCGTTTAGTAATGTATGTGGTGGCAGCACATGCCCCCAGCTGATTCTAACCAGTAGTCTCCTAAAACTCTGAAGTCAAGGAATAACTTCCTTTGGTAACCCATATGCACTCACAAAGCCCATTTTCCCCCACTGAAAGATTGGGAAATAATTACCAATACAAGTTTAATATTAGGACCGTTTCTTTTCTGATGTAACAATGAGAAACTGCTCTGATTCTGTTGGTTCAAATAGGCCTTTCCATGAAATTTAAGTGATGTCGCAAATTTGCATTTCTTAGAAAAGAGTAATTGTTATATTCATTAGTGAGCTAACATATGTTAATACATAGAGTGGGGCAAAAGTAGGTCTACAGTTGTTGATATGGAATATAATACAATCCTATATAATGAAGAGGTAATAAGCAAATTGACTGTCACTCCAACACACAATATGTCTGCCCCCATATGGACACAAGATGGCCGCCACAAGATGGCCAGCAGGGGAGGGCAGTTGTGGGCGATCAGGCCAACAGGGGAGAACAGTTGGGAGGGACCAGGCCTGCAAGGAGGGGCAGTTAGGGGTAACTGGGCTGGCAGAGGAGGACAATTAGCAATTGGGCCATCAGGGGAGCAGTTAAGTGTCAGTCAGGCTGGCAAGGGAGTGATGAGGGGGTGATCAGGCTGGCAGGCAGGAGCAGTTAGCAGCAATAAGGCAGGCAGGCAGGTGAGCAGTTGGGAGCCAGCAGTCCTGGATCATGAGAGGTATGTGACTGCCTGTTTAGGCCCAATCCTTCAAGGGATCCCAGATTGGAGAGAGTTCAGGCTGGGCTGAAGGACACCAACCCCCACCTCTGTGCATGAATTTCATGCACTGGGCCTCTAGAAGTTAATAAATAATAATACAAGAATAAACTTTGTATGCAAGAATAAACTTTGTGTTTGTATGAGAAACACAATGTTTATTCTTGTAATATTATTTATTAACTATTGTATTATATTCCATATAAACAACCGTAGACCTACTTTTGTCCCACCTTGTATGTTGGGAACAAATAAATTTGAGAACTTAATGTTTAAAAGATGGTTAAGTGAGTGACTGGATATGTCTTTATTAGAACCAGGATGTAGGTGGCTAGTAAGAACAAAGGTACGTAAAAGTCTTATTTGGAAGATAAATAGATTTGGGAAGTTCTCTGTTACAGGAGATAATATTTTCATTCCACTCTTCAAAGTGTTATGTGATTATTTATTATCAAATATAGGGCGAAACCGTTATTGACCCAGGACAATTTAATCTGAAGAAAGCTGGTTTCTGGACATCCAACACTCAATTCACTCTAAAATTACCATGTTCTTTTTGTGAAATCAGAATCAGGAGTGTAAGAACAGGGGAGGACTAGAGAAATGATCGATTTCAGCTTATTTTTTTTGCTTAGGCAGCAACTAGGCTTGACTAGGAAGGCTCACAGCAGAGAAAATAGCCAAACTCTCCTGGTAGAAACAACTGACTTGCACACCTCCTGGGAGAGCCATTCATATAGACCAGAGTTTCTCAACCAGGACATTTTGCCCTTATCCCGGGGGTGGAGGTGGGGGGTTGGAACATTTGGGCCATATCTAGAGATGATTTTTTTTTGATTATTTACTTTCTTTTTTATTTTATTTTTAATTTTTATTTATTTATTTATTTATTTTAAATATATTTTATTGATTTTTTTTTGCCCCCCTCCCTCCCTCCCATACATACCCTCCCTCCCCAGAGTTTTATGTCCAATGGTTGTACTTATATGCATGTATACAAGTCCTTCGGTTGATCTATTATCTCCCCCAGATCTTCCTCCCCTCCTCACTGTAATTTGACAGTCTGCCTATTGCTTTACTGTCTCTATATCTGTCTCTTGGTTCATCAATTTATAATGTTCTTTATCATCCACAAATGAGTGAGGTCATGTGGTGTTTCTCTTTCATTGATTGGCTTATTTCACTCAGCATGATGTTCTCCAATTCCATCCAGGTTGCTGCAAATGATGAGAATTCCTTCTTTTTTATGGCAGCAGAGTATTCCATTGTGTAGATGTACCATAGTTTTTGGATCCAATCATCTGCTGACGGGCACCTAGGCTGTTTCCAAATTCTGGCTATTGTTCGAGATGATTTTGATTGTCACCTCTGAGACAGGGGTGGTCCTGGAATCTATTATTGCAGAGGCCAGGCGTGCTGCTGAACATTTTACAATATATAGTGCCCCCCTCTGGAATAGAGTCATCTCAGTGATTGAAGTTTTTCATACTCTGGATCTACTCTTTCCTTTGCCCATGCTCTGTGCATCCTCTGAGAAATCTCTCCCACTACTAACCGAGTGTTTCCCTAAGTTTAATAACTGCGCTCTGCTCTTGTCTTTCTGTACTGTGGCCAAGGCTAAATTTATCATTTCCATATCCAATGTCTTATAAACCTGCAAATATGGATCTCTTCACTTGCTTGGTCTCCAGTCTTGTGCTGTCCACCGGACATCTTTTACTAAGTATCCAAATGACACCTAAAAACAGGTCAACCCATCACTGTCATTTTTTTATTGTGCACCCATTAAATACAGGATACTGGACGGTGTCAATTTCTCCTCCTGCTAGCAAGATCTGTCCCCATCCTTGGCCTACGGTAAACCAGCTGCTCTTCCCAGTCTCCGCCACAACACAGAAACCTCATTCTTCCAGCCCTGTCGGATCCTGATGTTGGCTAGCAGTTTGGTGTGGTGGCTAAGAACTAGTCTGTTTCTTTCTTACCAGTTTTGAGGCCTCAAGCAAATTTTGTTAACTTCTATAAGACCTAGTTTCCTTAGAGAAAAAAAATGGGGTTTGCAAGTAGTATCTAACTCCTAGAGTCACTAGAGGACTAAATAAAACAATCTGTGTAAAATTATTAGTACATGCCAATATTATAATGGTTCAGTAATGTCTGCTGTGTTTACATTATCATCACAATCATTTTTATTTGGACCAGCTTTGTCTTTGAGTGATCCTGTATGCTCTGGGAGTATAGAGTTTGGGATGATGGAAAGAAACCTGGAATTTCACACCCAGGGAATGGTGGGCATAGGTGGTAGGTGAGGGAATTCTCAGGAGTGACTCAGCCCAATTCCTTGTGCTTTTCTGCAAGTGACAGAGGTGGAAGACTGGTAGTTTCAGACTCATAACTTCTATTCATGTGTTTGCAAGAGAACTGGCTTAGATGTCCCTCCTAACTGTCAGGCGTTCACTGTCGAAACCTACCTATATGAACAGTGCTTAGATTACCTAGCTACTAACAAATGCTTTGAAGTAATATGGAAAAAAAGGTGGTTTCACATAATTTTCCTGGTTAATCCTACATCAAAGGATTTTTCATTTGCCTGAAAACTCTTTTATTTTAGGTAGATTGATAGATGCTGTTCAACTGATGCCGAGGGGCAGCAGAAGTTTTTGCTTAGAAAATGAGGAGAGGGAGGGCTGTTTATTGCCTTTTGCACACTTCAAAACAATATTCAGATTCTCCAGGCCATTATACCAATGGCACTTAAAAACATCTGACTACACAGTCCACAAGCTGAAGAAGGATAAGAGGGTATATAGATGCCAATTGGAGGAAGTGTCTGCATGCACCCAATTTCTAAAAGGTACCAAAAAACATGTCTGTATTCCAGCAAGCATTTAATAGCATTTAGAACCAGTCATTCTCTTTAAATTTAGTAAATTTTCTCATTGAGTTACATCAGAAGTGAAAACAAGCACAGACGTTAGTAGAACATAGTATTGGTAAATGAAAAATAGTAACACCCCAGTCTTCAGAATTCATGCAGGGAATATATCAAACTTGCTTCTTGGTATTTTAAACGTTTAGCCACAATAAATACACATGCTTAAAACACGTTAGTCACAAAAAAAAAACAAAATTTTGCAATTAATTCACACTATTCATTCAAAAACAAAGACATGGCCAAATTTGCGCTTTGCCTAGGAATTGCCAAAAGACACTTACAGTCTTCAAGAAGTTTTGCTTTTTCCCCGTCAATATCAGCAGGTGAGTGGGCAAACAGGATTAAAGAAAACCAGATGTTAGTAATGAGAACGTTAAGACCCTGAGGATAAAAGGAGCATCTTGATATGATTTGAGCTAAAAAAAAAAAAAAAAAACTAGTACAGCAAAGCTTGAAGTGGTGAAGTGGAAGGAGAAAGAAACTCCCATTCGTGGGTTTGTTTATTCCTATAGCAGTTATCCCATATAACACATGGAAGAACAAAAATAAATAAATAAATAAACTCTTCTGGGAATAAGAATGGTTATTTCCATTCCACCCATGTAGTAGTAGACAAGTAATTACGTTCAATTTGGAAAACAGCTGAAATCTACAATTAATCTGAAATGTCACACACTGTGTAGTGTCTGATCCCATTATCCCAGACATCACTACACACATGATAACAACACTTAACAATGGAAACATGGCTGCAATGACAATGTTCCATCCAAGTCAAATCCAACACTGATTTTATGTTAATACCCATATCCGTAATAAACTTTTCAGATTGTTAGCATATTTCTGTCTTCAGAATTCCTCAATCAGCCAGGGATTGTCAGTAGCCACAACAAGGAGCATCTCTTGTAGAAGGGATGTAAGGAACAGGGGCAGGGAAGAAATTACATGAATATGCAATTCAAAGGATTCTGCAGGGCTGCCTGGCACTAGTTTTGCAAAGGTTAATGCAGGAGGCCCTGGTTGTCCGTGACTTTCTTTTCATCATGATTATGCCTCTTCTCCATCAGCAGCAATAATGGAGTTAGCTGTAGGTGACTATTTCCTCCTGATTGTTCGATTGAGCAGTTAGATTAAGGGAGAATAAAACATTTCTCTCATTTCTCTGCAGTGCTTTTATCTCTCTCCTACATACCTCTTAGGGCAAATGCTTACTTAAGCATTCCAACTCCAGTGAGTGTAAGTGATCTTTTTTTTTTTTTTTTAAATTGAAATTAAGGTCATTGAAAGAATATGTTTTGAAAATAAACACAATATTGCTTTTTTTTTTTTTTTTTTTTTGTACTTTATAGAGGCACAGCAAAGGAATTCAACAAAGTGTGAAAGTGTGGGGCAAACCACATCTCTTCTTAGTGTCTTTCCACTGGCAGTTGCATCCTCTTTGGCAAAAAATGACATCCCAATAATCGAATAGACCCGGGAAAGCACTGTCTTCCTTGCACCTTGGAAAGCTTGCCAAACAGATGTTCTATTCAGGAAGCTAATGGATTTAAAGAAGTCATGCAGATTGGGGAAAAAGAATAAATCAATTCTGAAGTTTAGTAATTGTCCAGATTTGAAATTCTGCTTTACAATGCAGGAAAAGTGACCAGTGGAAACCCAGCGTTATCTTCATTTTTTCATAAATAGGCCACACAGACCAGGGAGAGTCCAGCATATACTTAATTACTAGGAAAAGAATAGGCTAATACAGTAGCTGTTCTTGCTCTACTTTAAACAGTGTTTTTGCAGATGACTTGTTGTATTTTCAAAATTTATATTTTGAGCCTGGCAGTGTGGCTCAGTGGTTGAGCAGCAACCTATGATCCAGGAGGTCATTGTTCAATTCCTGGTCAGGGCACATGCTGCAGTTCTGGGCTTGATCCCCAGTAGGGGGCATGCAGGAGGCAGCCAATGATGTTTCTCGGTCATCATTGATGTCTGTCTGTCTGTCTCTCTCTCTCTCTCCCTCCCTCCCTTCTTCCCTCCCTCCCTCCCTCCCTTCCTCTCTGAAGTCAGTGAAATATATATAAAAAGAAAAATTACATCTTGATGTTTATGCTTTTTACACAAAGAAGGCTTTAGATAAGATGCACTTCCTATATTTAGATAAATATTTAAGATTCAACAATCAAAGGTGCATTTTTTATTGTCTGAAGAGAAATGAATTATGCATAGTACACGGATGAGGAAGTGGTGTGGGGTTGGCCGAGAGCCTACCCCCCATCTTTTCCAGAGCACTCAGTATCTGAGCGGGTGGAGAAGTAGGGAGGGTGAAAGTGGGGAGGTCTCCACGACCATTTTAAAGTAATTCATGTAGTTTTCTTGCAGGACTCCTTCTACAAAGAGTCCCCTGTTGGGAGGATCAGGGAACCCCACAATTCACTCCTGCTCAGGCCAGCGCTGTCCCCTGGTACACAAAAGGCACCTGGGGGTGCAGAAAGATAATGATAGGGAGGGTGCAATGTGACTGATCGTTTCCATGGCCATTTCTCTGGTGCCATTCTTTATAAACACCAGGTGCTGAAGGTAAAAGCCAAATTAATTTTGATTAGCTTTTCAGTATCACACAGACACCTTCTCCGTTCACACAGTTCAGAGTCACGGAAAATGCTGGGGAGGTTTCGACTCCCAGGCCTAACAGCTTTAAAAACGTTAATACTTACAATCAAGAGGCACATCCAGTGCACTAATCATCTGGCACAGGAAGAGAATCAGGGGCACTCTGCCTGCAGATAAGCGCTTCTTTTTCGGCATTATTTTCAGCTGCATTAGCTTAACTCCTGCTGAGACCCACAAGCTGAATTTCCTTTTCTTCTTTCACAAAAGACTTGTGTGCAGTGTCTAAATAATTTTCATGCAGGAAACTGAAAAAGTACAGAATAAAAATGATAGCGTATTAAATAGAAGGAAATGAAGAGCGGAAACCGGCAGCAAAGAAAATCAGTCCTGGATTATACATGAACTCTAAAAGCGAGCTAATTTTTAAATATTTAACTCCCGGGGCTAGAATAATCATTTATTCATAAACCAGCTGAAATCGGGTCAGAAATATTGGTAGGGATGCTAAGCAAAAATCTGTCTACCCTGCCATCTTTATGATTTTTCCATTTTATTTTTTACTTATTTTTTTTAAGTATTTTTTTTATTGTTGATAGTATTACAGCTATCTCCCATTCCCACCCCACTTTACCTCCCTCCTCCCAGGCCCTCCTCCCCCACAAGGTCTTCGCTACCCTATTGCCGGTGTCCAAGGGTCATGCACATAAATATATAGTAAGTTCCTTGGTTTATCTCTTCTGGTCCCCCCAACCCCACGTTGAGATATGTCAGTCTGTTCCATGTCTCCGTGCTTCACATTTTTTGGTCAATTCATTTCCATTTTAAATATCTGCATGCCTCTCAGAGCCTGCCATGCTTTCCCACAAACTTGACTGGCAAGTCAGTTAGAACGTGTGACGTTAGAGGGGAGGCCTATTGGCTTCTCCATTCTAGAGATTGTTTCTGGGAAACTCCAGGGCATGGCTGCAAATTTGCTTTGAACCCCACCCTTACTTACCAGCTGAACTACCGACAATTCAGGCTTTCCTATCTTTCACTTAGACTAGGGCAGCAGATATGCCTGGGCCCTGCGTTTCAGGCCTTCCTCACTAAAGTCACCCTCCCGAGCACTGTTAATGCTTCCTAAAGGGTCTTCTGTGGTTAAGTACTGGGAGTAGCCTTATGGGATCTACCAAATAGAGTTTAATATGTTCTTAAACAGGTAGTTAAAAAAAAAAAAATAACCCTCAGTAATTTGGCTACTATTTTAATCCTATTTCCACATAACTTTTTTGTTTTCTTTGTTGGATGGTCTGTTTCTGTTTTTCTTTCTTATGTCAATACCTTGAGTTTTCCCACCTTTTTGCCTTATCTATTCTAGTCCTTCTCCATGGAATGCCCATTCCACAACATTTCCTTATCAAAGTCCAATGTACTTCTGTATAGATCAGTTAAAATGGAACCTTAAGTGATCACTAAATCTAGGAAGTCATTCCACGCCCCCCCCCAAAAAAAAAATCCTGAAATTCCTTATTTTAATCATCATATTAGATAGATAGAAAGAGAATCAGATAGATTTTGCTTTTTGTATTCATGCTCTCTAGCATACTCCTTCAGGCCTCTCCCTTCATGTCACCTAGTGTGCCTTGCACATTAAATGTTTACTGTCCACAGGAGAACATGAGCACCAACACAGAATATAGACATGTTTTTCTAGCACCTGAGTTCTGATATGAATCTAATTACTATTATAACTGGACACTTCTTGCTAAATAGATAATAAATAAATAACTAAATAAAAGGATTTACTGTGCTAAATATAGATATTATACATATATAAATATCTTGTGAATGAAACATCCATATTGTGTAGTTTCATTTAAGAAATAGGAATTTGGCTCTCCATAATATAATATATATATAAACAATCAGGCCTATTAAGCATTGAGAGGCAGGCATAGAAGCTCACACAACCATTTCTAACCCAAATACAGACCAGACTGCCTTTATGTGTGTGCAAAACATATCTACATCATTTAGCCAAGTTTACTTATGTCTCTTCTGATCTTCTGTTAGATTGCTAATTTTGCATTTCCTCATTAGCTTCAGGGAAAATAAAAATACCTAGCACGAATGGCACTAAAACAAGTTGAAGTACACACTACACTTATTGAGAGATAACCACAGAATCACTGAGAAAACAAATGGCACCCCTGCCTGATTTTTGTGTCAAAGTAATTGAGTATATTGACTTAAGTGCCTCGCTCTCTGAATAGGTGCTGGAGAACTAAAACACTTCCTCAAAGGCATACTAATACGTTATAATGTTCATAAGATCTTAAGCAACCACATACACTTTCTGTTCTAAGTTCTTCATTTATTATTTATTTTTCCTGGATGCCTTAACTAGTCATCCTTCAAAATCAAGAAAACCAGTAGACAATTTCAAATAAAAGAAAGTATCATTTAATCTGCTTTACCTCTTAAGAATATATATAATATCGCATTTTAAATCACAGTATTGCAAAAAGAAAAACAGTAAGAAAAAAATTGAGAAAGCACTTACTTAAAGAGACATGAGTAAATCCTCACAATGGGAGAGGCATGAACTATGATCATTGAAAATGTGGTCCCTCTTCCAAGAAGTTGTAAGTTGACCGCACTAGTAGCCACAAAATTGTGTGCAGGATAGGCTCTGTTTGAGGAGGACAAAGCAATGGCCCAGCCCATCCTCTGAAGCCTGCCCCTGGAAATGCACTCCCTCCTCCTACGTGTGCCGTCAGAGGTGAAAAACCCAGTGCCCGAGGACAGCATTAAGTCCCCAGCACTCAGTCAAAGCAAAAATCAAATTCAGCTACCAGAAATGATGCTTACTCTTCATAAGAGTGATGTGCGCTGCACCTCTCACAAAGAAACACCACTGCTTCTGCACTCCGTATTGATGTCAACGCCCTGCCCTGCCAGGAGCCCATCTGCCTTGTAGTTTACCTTGAAAAATGATGGTCATTCTCTCGTACACGAGAACCATGAACGGAAACTAAATTGTTCACGCAGTGACATTCAAATAAATAAAACCCCAATGTGAAATAGCAAGTCATGTGTATTCAAGACTAAAGAGTATGTGAGCACAATATAGCTTATAAATTGAAAAAGAAAAAAAATAGTTGCTACAGACATTGTAAAAGCATGCTGGAATGAAACAAATGGTAGGTTCATCTTTGGGATATAAATCACCCTGATATTTGAAAACACATATATTGTTAAAAATGAACCAGACTAATGATAAACAATAAAGCCTTTTAACATTTCATGTAATGCCATTCAAAGCAACTTTCACACCTTAACTCTAGAACCCCTTACCTCCCTTCTTCAGTAAACTTTTCATCATTAGAAAAGAAATGCAATTCAAGGTTCCATTACTTCTTTTAGCCCAAAATTCATATTAAATCATAGAGCCAGTATTCCCCTGCATTATTTACATATATATTGTATTTTTAAAAACCTAAAGCTGTTATTAAGCCCAAGAAACAGCTCTTGTGTTGTTTACTTAAAACGTCTTGTCATTAGAAAGAAAATAAAATATTTTTCTTTCAAGTGAAAGATAAAATTAGTTTAATTAAAAAACTGAGAGGGCAGGCATTACTTACCTTTCATTCTACTCTGTGCTTTTGAGCATCCTATCATGGGTGGTTTGACGCTGGCTATACAATGTAAGATGACCCACTCTCTGAGCCAATAAACTTGTGCCTGGCTGCTCCTTGGCACACTAATTATTGCTCTCCTGACTCTTCAGTGGCTGGCCTCACTGACTGGACAGCTAACTGCGTGGGACATTCTCTTGGCTGTGAAAGGCATTTTTCAGCAGTGAACCGGAGGATGGTTACTCTTTATATTTTGTTGTGTGCTTACCACAAAGAATAAGCACATCAATGCCCATTTCTAGCCCATACCTGTGCTTTTCAATCACAGATTTTTGAGTCTGAGACTATGGAAGGAAGGATAGAGAAAATGGACAATGACTTCACATAATTAACATATCAACAAAGTCACCCTTAAATCTATGCAACAACACCACGATGAGTGTGCCCCAGAAAACAGTAGTTTGAGAAGTGACCACAGAGATGGTCAAGGCAAACTTTATGAAGTACCAAGAAACAGGTTTCTAATTTCCTCCTGCCCCATAGTAGAGTTCCCACAAAGAATCTGGTAGCTAGAACCTGGAATAGTACTGAAGGAAAGGTGAGCAATTAACAGATCTTTTATTTTTACCCAAATAACAGATAATGGACTACAATTTAAAAATAGCTCAAATCTCCACTCCTCAGAGCATTATAACTTATTTGCTATTCAGAAAATCCCCAGAAAATAGGAAAGCAGGTATCATATGCACTTAATAGATGAGGAGAAAAAAAACAATCACAGTGGACAGCTATTATTCACCGAGAACCTTCCATGTGCCAGGAGTCACACTGAGTCTGCTCCCTGCTTTAATTTACCTCCTCTTGTCAATAATCCCCAAAGGTAAGTTCTATTACATGCTCCAAATCCCTCATACAGAACCCAAGATGCAAGGTGGTAAAGTCATGTGCCTAAGGACACAGACCTAAGGCTCAAGTTCTGGAGTTTTCAGTTATCTCACATTGTCACATCCTGCAAGCCCCTAGCATTCCCCTCCCTCTCATATCCTCTTATTTTACATTTAGTCACTTGCAAACAGAATGACCAAGTTTAGGCACCAGTATTTAAAAATAAAAAAAGCATGAATAGTTTCTGAATATCAACATATCTTCACAGTGTTGCCAATAGCACAACTTCAGGGCCCTCTTCATGCTGGAGTCTATGAGAATGGTGCCAGCTGGGATGGTTCCACCTGATGGTCCTGGACTTTTAAAGGAACCACAAGTCAGGACAATGTAGGTAAGATGCACTTTAAAAGTTCACTTAAAAGTAGGCACTATACGTACACAATACAACATTCATAAGGTACAAAAGACCATATCATTCAAAGTAAGCAAGCCAGAAACCAAGTTTCTCCCCTTGTGAGTGTTACTATTACCAAGTTTTATAAATCCTTCTAGAGATATTGATGCATAAAGAAGTATAAAAATATATATAACAATGTTTTAAGGACCTGTTGGATTTCAAAAAAAAATTAAAGCCTTTTTTGGCTGGTGTTAAACAATAAAAAATACCAATGTCTTTCAATGGAATCTAATTATCTGCCACACAAAATTATTTTGCTACTGGCTTTTCCACACATTGATTAAGCACAGAAACTATAAGAAAGGAAATAGTAGATAGCTAAGAGATCTAAGACCAAGGGATA